TTAAGTTGCCAATCTCTAAAGGTGCACCAATTCAGACTGCATCACCAAAGTAATCTGCTTGGTGTGAAAAAGACCTTAGTTTATAAAAAATAGTGCATTTGTTTCTAACATATGTTGAGCAGCTAATTACAGAAGATTTTGCCTTTCTTCATTAAGGTAAGTTGAGAATATTGCTGGATTTTAAAGAAATTTTAAAGTTGACCTGGTTGCAGGACTTGTAAAAATGGTTTTTTGGTACAGCCACCTTTGTGCATTTCTCAGTATATGACTGCATCAAAAAATTTTTTTTTTTTACAGTTATTGAAAAGTTTACAGAAAACACAAGGTTTTGTTTGATCTGCAATTATCTGTCAAAGATCATTCCTGCACTGCAGTCCCGCTGCACCAGGTTTAGATTTGGTCCTCTCACTCCTGAACAGATGCTGCCAAGATTGGAACATGTCATACAGGAGGAGAAGTAAGTCCAAGAATTTATCATTGTTTTTTCTCTGCAAAAAAAAAGGGGGGGGGAGGGGAATAAAACAGTTTCACATGATTCAAAGATTCTGTTTTTTTTTTTTTTTGCTAAAATTTTATCTTTTTAGCTATTCACAAAATTAAATGTTGACAACTCAAAAGACCTTTCAAAAATAAATTATTGGCAACTTGATCACTGCAAAACCAATAGACAATTGCCAATGAATAACTTGGGATTGTGTGAGGATAGTAATCTAAATATTGTCTCATCTACCACATTTGATGTGCTTTCAGAGTAAATGTTTCTGAAGATGGTCGCAAAGCTTTAGTAACATTAGCAAATGGTGACATGAGGAAGGCTTTGAATATTCTGCAGGTAATGCTCTATTTTCCATTACTGGCATGTCAGGTATACAGGCTTATAGCAGGTGAAAAGTTTTTAACACTGATGAACATATAATACATATCATAGAACTTTTAAATTGTTGGAAATTGCAAGTACACGGTACGCGTAAGAATAAATTAGGAATTGGTTGTACAAAGAATAGTATGGGAGGAATTGAATTTTATATTTTATGCATATTTCCAGAGTACTCACATGGGCCATGAAGAAGTGACAGAAGACAATGTATATACATGTGTTGGACATCCTCTAAGGCAAGACATTGAAAATATTGTCAATTGGATGCTGAATGAAGACTTTACTACAGCTTACAATAGTATCCTTGATGATAGTCACATGTTGGACCAGTTCTGTATTAGAAAGACAGGGCTTGACATTAAAGGTGGCCCACTGGCCCTGGGCCACTGAAAACCAACCTAGGGCCATTGAATTGATGGGGTCACTGGCCCAAAGGCCAAAGAGCAAGTAAAATGTCATGTGTCAAATCATCCTTGCAGGCCAGTATCGGCCAGTATCGTAAAAAGTTAGTGTCAAGCCCTGAAAGATTTTGTATGTTTCCTAAAGATGCTAATTTTTCTTTACTATATTAGCAGTAAGTTCTTTTAAACAGCACTATGGATTTTAATATTTTGTAGCTATATGACTTGTAACATGGGGAATTTATTACTGTTTAATGTAGAATGCTGCAAATACTCAATATTTTCTTATTTTCTTAACTTCACACAGATATTTTAAATTTGAAGACCTTGAAAGGGCTAGCTTTACAAGATATTTTATTTGAAGTTCATACCTATGTACACAGAAGTAAGTAGTCAGTTGAATTGTTTAACACAAACATTACCTCCCCCCCCCCCTTTCAGAATATGTACTGGTTTCTGTCCAAAATAAAGCATTGTTTCTATTGGTAATAGTTAGACATCTGTTTTAAATCTTTTGAATTGTAAATTTTAGCCTGACTAGTTGCTCTTTAGGTCTGCTGGTTTGGCTAATCAAATAATGGTATATCTAATATAGCTTTATTTTGTCCAATTTCTTGCAGTTGACTTTCCTATTCATGTGAGAATACACCTTTTGGAGAAAATGGCTGATGTGGAGTGAGTATAAAATTTTTACTTTTATTTTAAGAGCTATACAAATTGTATTGGGAAAAATGCCTTTATTATATTTTGATATGTAATTGAAATTCTGATCAAGCCTTTTAGAATTTTTACTAAGAGAAACATGTTTGAGAATTTCATTCTTTTAAGGATGTCATCCCATGCAAGTTATTTAATGTAATTAAACAGCGCCATTCTATTACAGGTTTCGCCTTACATCTGGTACCAATGAAAAGTTACAGCTGAGTTCTCTTATTGCTGCATTTCAAGTTGCTAGGGACTTAGTAGTGGATGAAGCAAAATAAAGTGATCTAATAGCCTAAAAAATGAAATAAGATGATAAAAAGGACAACTTGGGCCCATTTAGTGATACGAACATTTTAACGTCACTGTACCTTTCTGACTGGAACTCTTGAACAGAGCTCTGATAGTCATATGCCTAGTTGCTGGGGTATTAACAAAGACTTCCTGGTAATTTAACTTCATTTATGGATGAAATGGAATTATGGAACTCTAACATTTCGAGCAATATTTCTTTAATAAAGTTAAACGTGTAACAAATGTCAACTTCTTTATAATGGAAAAATATATGAACAAATTTTCATTAAGTTTTATGATTAAATACGTGAAGCAACTTTTAGAGAAGCCTGCACATGAAACTTGATCGTAACGAAACTGATGGATGGTCCATGTTGGCCTTGTTTATTTGGTCACAATATGGAGGTTTTCCTTAACCAAAATATTCTTTAAGGAACCTTGGATTTCCTTGTTTACCCTTTATTTGGTTTACACATTTTTAAGGACGGTCCATTGGGTCAACCAGAAACTTCAGGACTGTTTGGCAGACATGACATTTCAAAAACTGAAAATTGTTTTATACTTTCCCACCATAAAGGATATAGGTGCAAAAGGTATCTACCTATTTCTAATAAGTTATTAAGTGACCCAATTGAAAAGAGAAATTCACATGTGAGTAATTTTTAAGATTAAAGGGTTACTGTTCCGTTTGCCTCTTCACTTGTACAAATTCCTTAAAAAATATGAAAAAACCGCATGGAACAGGAGCAGGTAAATACAAACCTAGCCTCTGAAAGACGTTTTGTTTCAACTCCTAATTTTAATGGGGACTGCTCTTCAGCTGGTTTCCAAAATTCTTTTTGCAGTTGTTTTGGTGGATAACATTTTGACATTTTTGTTTACTTATGAATCTTTTTCTCAACCATAATAAGGTGTAAAGAATCGGCTTTTTCACAAACCCTAAATAACTCGAGCCAATAACAACACAAATGCCTTGGTTTAAAAATTTTATTCTTTTAATAAATGATTGTACACGGGACGTTTAAAATGTTTAACTTCTTAAAATAAAATTTTGATACTGCATGCCTAACACTTGTGCTCACAATTCTTACTCTAAGTCCATTGTAATACTTATTATGTTAAAGCATAGAATGGCACTTATAAGAAGAATATTCTCCAGTCTGGAATTAAAAATATAAACTTTCAGACAAATTGCAAATCCACATCAACTACGATGCACTGAAAAATACAATTTCCTTATGACTCCCCACTGAAACCATCCTTTCACGAAACTTATCCTGTGAAAAAATTTGCAAAATATGACAAAGTCATACTAATTTGCCAAATTGATCATAAAAGTTTCCATGTTTTTACATGCACGAAAAAGTAACTTGTTAAATTTTCTGAATCAATGAAGGTAAATTAATGCCTATATTCTTGGTAATAAACTGTGTTTCCCTTTTACTACGTATTGTTAGAAATAAAATACAACTGTGCGTTATAACAATATAAAATAAAATGTAAAAACAGCATATGATTACTTATACCAAACTACAGCATTTCACTAGCCAACTGGCTATTAACAGTAAGTAAAAATGCTAGTAAAAATCCAGAAATGCTGCTCTTAGTTCTTAAAAAAATACATCTGCAGAAAACTTTACCTTATCATGTTAATTCAGGAGACAAAAAGAATGTAATAAATTGCATAAAAGTTGCACTTCATTTAACCCGACAGTCTTTCATGTAAAAAAAAAACATCTTAAAATAATACCAATAAATTGATTATCAAAGGCATTGATGCATGTGACCCTCAAAAAGGATGTTGCATATATTTTAAATATAATTTTTTGCACTGCTCTTCACTTTAAAAAGTCTGGATAATAACAGGAATTTAATAGGTAGTATGTATATTCATTTGAAAGTAGTAGTAGCAGTAGCAGTAGCAGTACTATATTCAGTTGAAAGCTTCTGGTTTACTTGGGAACAATATAAATGATTTCAAAAGAAGTATTAGCTAATATTAATATCACATTTAACAGCAAATTGCTTGGAATGATTATTCAACTTGATATGGTACCCCATATATAAAAACAGACATTAACATTAACATTAATAAATTGTTTAAAAGAACTTTTTTAACAGCAAGTTTAAAGCTGAAACTCCAATGCCACTTAAAACAGCAAGTTTGGTTCCCCCTGATGCTGCAGTCTCTTTATCAAATAGTGTCACATTCTGAACTGTGACATCTCCCTCGGAAATTTGAACAGTTACCAGTGACTCGTTGGTCCCATGAGCAGTAACCTATTTATAAAGAAATAAGTCATAAATGTAAATATTAGGAGTGAACAATAGCTTAAAATTTCAGATATATTATGAGTGTTCAACGCTTATTGTGCACCAAATGTTGGCTAAAAATGCTTGATGAATTTTTTTTGTTCCTGTTGTTTCGTAATACATGTATCAAAAATACTTTTAAAAATGCTACACAGAGAATCATTACTTTTAAAATGATAATAAATGAAGGTTCCATTTTACCATTCAAAACCAATTAGTTACCGACCTGACAGCCAAGCAGAATAAGAATTAGGCATGCCCATTTTATATATTTTGAAAAAATACAACTTACTTTGAGATTATATGTGCCAGGGAGTAACAGTTTCCAATATTCTCCTAGTTGTGTTGTTTTCACTGGATGTATGCGGTCATCAATTGTCACCTCAGCACTGGGTATAGGGGTTCCAGTTCTGTCACGGACTATACCTTTAACACCTAAAATCAAACTAGAGGATCAGAGAGGCGATACCGCCTCCGAATATTGTACCACCAGCTGGAGCAAGCGCATTCGTATAGACCCCCACATACGCAAAATAAGGGACACAGCCACTAGTCTTATGCTTGACAAATTGTAAAAATGCAATCAACAAGAATTTTCAAAATACGCAAAAAAAATATATATATAACTTAAAATGGTACAATCAAAGTTAAGTTCATTGTAAGGTAGGTCAAAGGTCAATTTCAAGGTCACAGTAAATTTCCAGTATATGACTTCCTATTCAACTTCAATAGTAACTATGGACCTATCTCTGCCAGGTTTGGAGTTAAAAGAGAAAGAAATTAGCAGAGTTCAGTTCATGATTATAAGTAGGTCAAAGGTCAATTTCAAGGTCACACTTAGATTGCCAATATATGACTTCCTATTCAANTAATTGGAAATGCTGCATTTAAAGAGATGTCTTTCCTCTGACACCTTGTTACACATTGTACTTTAATCACTTTCCTTTATATCATAAATGTTTTCAGTCATGAAACCAGTTCATAAAAAATGTCTCGTTGTTTTAGTTGGGAATTACATCTATGCACATATTTTATGCATAAACTATTAACCACAGCTTATAGAATATCTCTTACCCATGAATGCCTGCTGAAGGTAGATTATAAGAGGATTCTTATTTTGCTCCCAGTATGATTCTAACTGAGATGCCAAAGGATATTTACAGCAACTGATTTCAAGGGTGATTTCCATGCAACCTTTGTAGATGTAATTGTAGTCCTGCATTCCTCCTAACAGAAAAGGTGTCAAATTTACAGCTTGAAAATTAAGTACAGTTTTAAGAAAATTTACATCTTCAAGGTGAAGATGTAAAATAAATAAATAAATGAATAACTTGGAAAATGTGCAATTCTTCTACTATTGTACAACACTATTTTCACATATAATGTCTGAAAAAAATTAGTAGGATATAACTTTGCTATGGAAAATATAGATATTAGAAGAAATAAAATTGTATTTCAGTTTCACTCAATAAACTAAAATAAATCATGAAAGAGTTTGCCCAGATTTTCAGACCAATGACCTACCTGTGATAACATACCACTGTGCCCCATTGGTAATGCCCCTGAGAAAGCTATCCCCACACTCCTGTCCTCTGTGCATGGTGGGATGTGCAAGAGAGTAAGACAATGCAAGGACTTGAAAAATGTCATCATCTGGGGACTTGGAATACTGGTTTATTCCTGGAATGATAACAGACTGTTTTATTCTGTTTCTGAAAACAATTCTGAAAATATACCAGTACAGTTGGAAAACATGGCGAATTATCTGAATTGAGCATTGTATCGAGTCTTTTCTTGTATCATTTCCAAATGAAAGTGACAGTAAAATGTGGGAATAATCACAGCCAACCTTAAACACCAATTTGCTTTCACAATTTCACTGCCTACTCTTTAGGTGAAAGTACTATCTGGAGCATGTGCTCTTTAAAACAACAGGCAAATCAGTTTAAATAATTCAAGGCAGTGAAACTGTGAAAGCAAATTAAGTCACCCTAGTGTAATTGCATAGCAGAACTTCTCAAAACATATGCCAGTACATACAGCTGGAACACTAAGACATGATGGTAGCTGTTAATGGGGTTCAATATAGAGAAACTGAAAAGGAAATGGTCAGTGCCTGTTATCTCACCTTTAATGTTAGAGTCATAGGGATAATTAGCTACAACTGCACCTCCGTGAAAGTTGGCTGACAAGACAAACTGGTTCTCATTTAACCAAGAGATGACAGCTTCTGTCTCTGGAGCTCTGGCCACATTGTTCTCTCTAAAGAAGTCAGGGAAGTTTCTGTGAAGATCAATGTCATCAGCATTATACCTAAAATGTAAAGTATTGGTGAAAAATAACGAGAGACTGGCAAATTACAAATTACTGAAATTTTGTAAAAGAATTATCAAAAAGATGGGAGCCAATTTTTCCATCAGTTCCTTGAAGTAGTCCTGAAGTTTGTAAATATGTATATCATTTCTTTAAGCATTTTGGGGCCAATGTATTTCATCTAGTTACTTATCCATTAAGGTCATTTTATTAATAATTTTAATATGATTTTCTTACTTAAATACTCCTATTTAGAATTATGCAATATGATAATATAGGAATTCCAGCAAACAACTTGTAAGATAGAATGACTCCATTGTATACATGGCTAACCTGCCCAGATCTCCTAAACACTGGCCTTCCTTTGAGATTTCAAACCCATCTGGATTCATGCTAGGCATAATGTGAATCCTAGCAGAAGTCATCAAGGCCTTTATGGTGCTGTTACTTTGGAAACTGGAGGCAAGATATTCAATAAGATGTATCAAGACTTCTCTGCTTACTGCCTGAAATAATGTTTTGTACATACTGTTAAACACAGATGCAAGAAAGCAAAATTTCAAGTAAGTCACAAAATGTAAATTTCCATGTATTTAATTCAGAAAAACTTGCTCTCAGCAAAAAAATATTAGTTGATTAATAGTAATAACTTATGACATATATAGAGAAGAAAAAAAACAAGAACTGCTTACTTGAAACCCACTAAAAAGTAACTGTAAATATAGTGACATTACCTCATTTCCATGCATGTTTCCAATATATTTAAGTTCAGGTCTCAGCAAGACATGCTCTTTTGGGGACTGTCCTAATGCCATCACCCACAGTTCTCTGCCTGGAAATGAAAGATGGGTTGGTGAGTGAAGGAAGGAAGGAAGAGAAGGAAGTGGATGTGAGAGGGGTCAGCAATAATCTTAAACTTGTAGCAAAAGTTCGGTACCATAGGGACATTTTCTGCATTAAATTTAAAACTTCGTAAATTTTGCAATTAATTAGCACATCATTTTTCAAAAAATCAAAGCAGTGCATTCTTGAAACATACAAAAGAATAACTGGCAGGTCATATTACAAATTGGATTGTGCAAGATGACACACCATACCATAAAGTGAGAGATATGGAAAATTATCTATTGGCCTAATAAAAAAATTATGTCATGAGTATTTTAAATAGGTAGGAAAAATGTAAAGTTGACATTGGTCTCAAAGGGTGAAGACCGACCAAAATTGCTTTTAAAAACCATAATCTCTTACTTTGCATACTTTTTGATTTATTACTTCACAGTCCCGATTTCCTTAATTCAGTTTTTATTTTAAAATATTGCAACAAAGTCCACACTAAAATTTGATTGTGCTGTGTTAAAGGTAACTGTTCTCAGAAGACATTTACCTTGCCTGGACTGTCCAACGCTGTACAGGTGAGTGATTGCAGGGTACTGTCTGGCAATCTTTTCCAGAGTGGCCGTCAAAGAGGTATAGTTATGATACTGGAAAGGCACTTTTCCCCTGACAGCAGGCACATGTAGCAGACATCCCCACACAATGCTGAGAAAAGTCCAGCCCAGTGACATGATGGGAATTATCTGCAATATTACAATTTTACATGAAATTAAAATAATCTGCTTGGTTATTATTTTCACAATCAAAACATTACATTGTTTCCTTAGGGCAGAGAAGTTTTTCTGTAATAAATTACAAGACTAAACAGTGGTTAAAGTGGCTCTGGTTACCTCCTACTGAGTACCGGTAGTCTGTAGGTGCTTAAAGAAGAGGCAACAACCAACTGCTGTACTTGTTTTCAGTTAAAATTTCTTGTCCAGGGAAGCAATAGTCAAAATATACACATAAATTGGCCATAAAATGTGACACTGACAAAAATGTGAATAAACTATGGGTGATATACAGTGGTCGACAATAGTTTTGAATCAAAATATCTTCCTTTGTCTACATATTTTACTAAATGAATCAGATATTGGTGGATGCACTTGAAATACTGCAGGTGATGTAGCTTAAAATATCATTAGTTTGTAATTCTCAAATTAGGCATTTAATGAATGCTCTCACAAGAGAAAAGAAAGATTACCAGCTGCAGTTGTACATGTTCATGTATAATCAGCTTGCCCTCTTCAATGTAATGCTACAAACTTTATACCTTTATTCCTCATCATAAAAAAGTTGAAAGAGCAAATCCAAGATGAAGATCTCAAACCCTATGCTGGTGATACAATTTATATCAGTAAAAAAAAAAAAAAAAATTAAAAAGAGAAATGGTAATGCCAGCTTTTCTCCAGGCTTAAAGTACCTACCAGTGAATATCCACACCTATTCCTATAAATGACTATGCGTGTTTGCATGTGAGCATAAACACCAATTTTTATAGCATCTCGTCCTTGCATTGATAATGTAGTCTGCTGGATCATATTATTCTATGCTTAACAGCCAAATGTTTAGTATCATATCAAAAGCCAAACCATACTGTTGCTCTTTATATGACAATAAAAGTCATTTTGATCACAGGATGCAGCTTAATTTAAGTTTGATATAAACTACTGTAAATCATGCATTTCTACCTAAAAGCTTGATTTTGTACAGTTAGATTTTGAAAACAGCACACTTTAAGTGCAAAATTTGTCAATGATTTAAAGGGATAATAACTCTTGGAGTAAACAACAATTTTCACATACTTACCAATGGTTAATGAATCCAGTCCCTGGTTTTTTTCTAAAATGTTTTTTTTTTGTCATAAATTCTTAAGAGATTATAACAGAGTATAGCCATCAGTGGAGGTCACGTGGTCTAAAGACAAGCTCAGATATCAGAATAATAGCTATAACTGCCATTTTTGTGGTACAACAGAATATATTATATTTCTGTAAGTTGTTCACAATGTTTTCATTGTGAAATATACGAAAGATCTAATACGAAGAGTTATTATCCCTTTAACTTTTTATATATATATATATATATATATATATATATATATATATTAAAATGTCTTATCTACAAAATGACTCTTACCTATATTTTGGATTACATTGCAAGTCTCATTGCCCAGTGGAGGTTTCTCCTAAATACCTAAAACAAAGTAATCACAATATTACATAAAAAGAATATCCATCAAAGTTCAGCATAAGGAATGTTCAACATTTCTGCAAAATCACTGCATGTTTAAAGTAGGAAATAGAAAAAAAGAAAAAAAAGCAAAGCTTCAAAAAAAAAAAAAAAAATGCATGGCACAATTTGCAGTATCCTCCCCCCCCCCCCCAGCTGTAACTCTGTGAATTTTAGTGCTAATCCAAATAAAGTTATGTGCTAATTTAAATCAACGTCTCTGTTTACTGATCAAATGAAATATTACTTTACTCTACTCTAACTGTACATTTTGTCAGTTAAAATTAAATCAGAACACCAACACTGATCCAGTCATGTTCAAATGAAATGTCACTCCGTGTCACTTCTTTACCGTACTATGGTACATTTTGTCAGTCAAAGTAAATCAGGGCACCAACTTTGACCCGTCCTTCAAGGAGGAAAAAGGTTGACCTAACTTTGTTCCTGTCTTTACGTACATGTACGAAATATTACTTAAGCAAAATGAGGACATACGTCACACGATGTATTTTTGTAAACAACGGGTTCGGTTCACGGGCGATTTGATGTCAGCAGATGAGATTTAAGTGGGCGTGATGACTGCGTCAGTGAGTCAGTGGATTATCTACTCACCCACAATTCGAAGAATTGTCTCAAGTTACGCCGATTCTGAACAAAGATCATTTTGCCAGTAAAGAGAAAAAGGCTGTTGGTTACTACAAAAACATCGCTATATGAAACGAAGACGTCCAGTGGGCGCTGTCATCTTGGTTTGAGCACCACGGGTAATCTATACGCTAGTCACGTGACTTCTTTGTGCGAGGCTCACCGCGTGTGAGTTTATCCTCCCTTTCTTTTCACACTCAATTTTATTCTCAAAATTTTATTGAAGATCCCAACGGAGGATCACCATTTTCACCAGACACGTAGGTGAGAGCACCATTTCGGCATGAAAAATTTGTGAAGATGCAGACGTAAAGGGAAGAAGAGAAAATCGAAAGACTGTGCAGGCACTTTGTCTGAGCAAGCAGACAGCTGAGATATTGTAATGGCGGTGGTAAGCCAGAGGCACACCCGACATATGATGGCTTTTCATGGTTCTGGGGCACCTCAACACGCTATCCTTGCAGCAGCAACAGTACCCTACTACCAGACAGTGATTCCAGCCCAAGATGTGCAGCCAGACCGGCCGATAGGATATGGAGCTTTTGGAGTTGTATGGTGAGTTCGCGTTTGGGGCCATTGTTTGGGTGGACTCGGTGAAAAGAGGGTGGGGGATGGATGAAGTGAAAAATATTTCATATGCATAAAAATATCCATAATGTTGTATTTTTTCATTACAATTTGTCAATTTATACTTATTAACTTTGTGTAAAGGTATTTTTAATTTAAAAAAGAGAAGGAAGAAAAAAAAAAGAAAAAACACATTGCCCTTAGATGACCCCAGTCAGGGCATCTCAGGCAGGTGCCCCCAAATGGTGTCATAGCAGGTATTGTGTCATATGAGGATTTTTTCTTATAAGGACATGTTTAAGCCTTAAATGGCTTCAGTCTGTGGAAATTAATCAACATAACCTTTTTATGTGAATTTTTGTGGGTTTTCCATGGAAAGTTTATCCGGAGAAAAAATTGTGGGAGGCAGGGTTCTTTAATTTTTAACCTTGATGAAATAAATGACACTGTGATTAGGGGTTTCAGAAATAAAATATTTTTTAGTATACTGTAAATTTTGATACCCTGTTAACTATATTTTTAAAAATTAAACTGTATTCAAATTATAAACGTGTACCAGATGTCAATACAAAATAGCTTGATGTTTAATTTTTATGGAGTCTTCATTGGAATTGCTCAGGAAAAATTAAAGATTTTAGCAGATGGTCAAGATTTGTACCTTCAAAAGGAGATATACTACCTCTCTATTCATTGCTGTGTTATCAGAAAGCGGTATTGTGTGTGCGGCCCTAAAATCTGTCCTTTTGTCCTCTGGAGAGTCCTGCTTGATGAATGTAGTTCTCCCATGTATTATGTAAGCAAATCAGCCAGGGGGACTGAATGGGGAATATTATTGCTATCAGCTGGTTACCTTTTCTTCTAATTCCTGACTGATAAGCCCCTAGCGCTTTTTGTTTTCCTTGGAAGAAGGTGGTTTTAAAAACGATGATAACATAATAATACAACCAGTCTTTCTGGTCAGCAATTTCTTTAATTTATTTTCATATTTATCTAAGGTTATTTTGATGCTTTTGAAGTTTGAAAAAAAATGCAAGTAAATTCAATGTGACCTTGCCTCTCATTAATATGTGATTTTCGTCAGGACAAAGGAACTGCCAAATTGTGCATACAACACCTTACGGGACATATTGGACAAAGGCATTTATACATAGTAGATAGCAATAACCTGGGGTCATTGAATCAGTTTGTGCTATCAAAACAGAGGAGAGGATCAGAGGAGTGACCACAAAGGATATGAGAGAATGGAAATTGTGTTTGAATTACCATGAGACTGATATCCTCAGATAAAAACTGAACCCTTGTACCCTTTGTGATATGATACCTCGTGTTTTGTTTGCTTGGTTGCCATGGTGATATATGATAACAGGGAGCAGCTTTTCTAATGAAAAAGTAGTCATTACTCCATTTGATTTTCATGATATTCATGTTTTTTTTTTCTTTTTTTTTTTTTTTCTAGAATTGTTTTACTGAACTGTGCAATCATTCTAAAAAAAGTTGTTTGGAAAAATTCTCTGCTCCTGATACTATAGAGAGGAAAAAGGAGAAATTTCCTACTTAGCTAGTAAATTTGTGACAGATTTTGCTATATCTGTTGCTCTTAGATACTACCAGTGTTGTGAAATTTTACCTGACATTCTCAAAGGCAATAATTCTTCAATTTTTGAGTATAGGGGTAACCTACATTTTGTAGTCACTGATGACTTTAAGTGATAAGATAATTACACGGTGTGTAGGAAGACGTAATTAAAATTCAAGATAAAGAAATTCACAAAGTATTTTCTAAGCACAACTTGGTAAATTATTTTTGAAGTGATATAAACATGGCAGTTGAAATGATTGAAAATGAATTCTGGTACCGTAAATAACCTTCTTACAATCCTTTCTTACAATGTTTACCCAGATAAAAAATTAAATAAATGTGGTTTCTGTTCAGCAACATATTCTGTCTGAGTAAGAGTTTTTTATAAACCAAACTTGTCAGTGAGATATTGAGGAAAAAAAATAAAAAAGTTATTCTGAAAAAAATTGTTACTTGCTTCATTGAACTAAAAAAATAGGTATTATGATTAATTCTATATAACCTAACTTGACTTTCTTATTTTTATCTAATTACAGGTCTGTAACAGATCCCAGAGATGGCAAGCGTGTTGCTCTGAAAAAAATGCCAAATGTCTTCCAGAATCTTATTTCTGCCAAGCGTGTTTACAGGGAGCTTAAGATGTTGTGTATGTTCAAGCATGAAAATGTAAGTAACTCAGTTTAATATTAATTTAGTTGTTTATAAAAAATCATATGTAAATGTATTTAATGTGCATATTCAGTCTAGTGATTTTTTTTCTTTTTTGCAAAAATTCTGTATGAGATAATTTCCTGACTGACAATGAGAACATTGCATTGCGCATCAATGCACAAGATAACAGAGAGCAGTGTTTTTGAAATGGAATGAGTGTTAAAATGTTGCATTAATGGAAAATTGATACAAATGAGATGTGTACCTTGACTCTTTATTTTTCTTTGTCCTTTCAAGTACTCCATCCTTTTTTTTGAGCGCCTTGTATTGTCACCTTAACTTTGATGTATGAATTACTTATGGTTCACTCCAAGTGCCTCTCTAGGATATTGTGATCAATCTCCATAAAATTGTCTTTGTGCAAGTTTCATAATGGCAGAAAGTGTTCTTTACAAGATCAAATCATTGGCTCTTGGACTTTGTATTGTCTGCAGTTGTGCCTGTGTGTGTGCTCCAGTGTATACTTAAATATAGAATTCATCAATTATTTCCCAAACCACAGACCATCTTGAGGAAAGCTTGCCTCCAGAAAATTGTGCCCTAAGGAAGTGATATTGTTAATGAAATTGAGATGTCTTCTTGCCTGTCTCCATAAATGTTGCTGTCTAAACACACTGTTTTTGATAGTAGCCCAACTTTTTATTCAAGATTTAAGTCTAAAAGTCCAGATGGTTATGTTTGTCTAGTAGGTTGATTTACCTTCTGTTCAAGGCTGTGTTCAAGCATGTGTATATGGACATTTTAGAAGGGTTGCACTGTATGGGTTCAGCAGTGATGTGTATATTTCACTTCTTCAAACAGATTTGTTATCATTTTAATAACAGAGACTGGTTGAGCTGTTATTACTGGTAGCACTGCATGAGAAAATCGCCAAATTATCCTGCGAAGGTCAGTTTTCCTTTGAGACCCATTTCTAGTGTAGTGTTTCAGCAACATAACTGCACAGGTGTAGAACTGGTCTAAGGAAGTCTGTTGATAAAAATGAAATCCAAAGAAATTTCAACTCAGGGTCAGGTCAGAGTTTGTTTTAGTAGGCAGTAATTAAGATGGACTCTTCTAGCCTGTAACAGCAGGTGCTGATTAACCTGTTCATGATAACTGAACTAGCAGTAGCCCATAGACTAACATACAAATGGTTTGGTAAGATAAATTAACCATAACATAAATGGTAGCATGTGTGTGTCTGGGTTGTCTGTAAGCAAGTCCCCAGTCCTGTAATGTCTGTGTGTGGCCAAAGTAGATATGCTGCATAGAAATGAACACAGGGTAGCTGTTACAACAAAGGCATTTACAGCACAAAGCACTTTAACATACCTGGGTGACTCAGTCTGGCCCAGAGAGGCTCAGTGCTGCCACAAAAATCCTACCCAACAAGAAAGATAAACAACATACCTAAGTGAAAAACTGTATGAAATTCCAGCACTGGCACAAAAAGTTCCAAAAATGTGAGTGAAATTGACTTGAGCATGTGCGCAATTTCGCTCTTTTTAAATGAGAAAAAAAAAAGAATTTATCCTCAGCTTATGTAATGCCCTACTTCTAAGCACTCATTTCAGATATTATAGGCTTGGATTAACCTTTTGAATTAATCAACCATTATATATACGAGCGGCTCTTCAGATAAGAGGACTCTGCCTATCATTTGTTTTTGAAAAGGGGAAAATACAAACATCATAGATAGATACCTTGGTTATCACTGATTGATTATTGTCATTCCAGACATACTTGGCGTGGTGACGCTGACCAATGGTTTTGGTATTACATGTTACATACTCTGCTGTCACCATACCAATTTAACAGAGTGCTGTCAGCCATTTCATTGATATTACTCCCCCCCCCTCCTCTTTTAACTTGGTTCCCATGGCACTTCAATATTATAAATTTTTTCTGTAAAGTATCATGTTTTTAATAAATGTTTATTATCCATTTTCAGGTGTTGTCTGCACTAGATATTCTGCAGCCTCCACACATAGATTTTTTCGAAGAAATGTATCCTTTCCATCATGATTAAGATATTGTTCTACAGACTAGAAGTTATTTTTAAAGACTACATGAAAGAGAGCTGCTTTATCTGCTCCCTCTATTAATAGAATGCCATAAAAGTAGTATTTATGGTGTGCTTTTGAATAAAACAAAAAGGAGAAAACTTATTGGGAGTTTCGAAGAAATTTTGAACTTAAATAGCAACAGCATCAAAATAAAAATAATTATGATAATGATAATATTATCATTATAATAATAGGTAGATTTACAATTTAGCAAAATATGTAAGCTGAAAAAAAGGTATATCGTTTTCTTGCAATTAATGATTCACAGTGTGTTACTGTTGGTACAGTCAGCTGGGGATTCATTCTAATGTCAACATCTTACCTATAGAAGACATGTTAAGGCAGGTGCTATGTCAAGTGTGTTGCTATGGGGGATAAAATAAAACATACACCCCCAAACAACTGGTCTCATAAATGAAGTATTGCAATCAATCATCTCACCTTAATCTACACATGTTGTACCTTTCTGTTAGACAATAATGACAAGAACCTTGAGGGAAATCACCTGTTGGGTATAAAAGGTAAATTGCCACATAAAAACAACTGTTGGCCACCAGTAATGTTAAATTCTCATTTTAGTCGGCAGTAAGGAAAGGGGGAGATTAATATATACATGTACTTTGTGGAAATGTCTGAGAGGAAGTCATGCTTAGAATGGTTCCACTGCAGTAATTTGCAAATGTATCTCCATGATGAATTATTTCCTGTAGGCATTATTAAACACTTTTTGTTCCCGATATGATAAACATTTTAATAATTTTCTAGGTGTAGAATGCATACTTGCCTAGTACTGAGTAGAAATATTTTTTCATCCCCAATGTGGTGGCATGTAGTTCTTTTGAGCTCAGTATTCTTATTAGAGCTCAGTATTCTTATTAGTAGCTGCAGGAAGTGAAGCACTGATGGTGAAAGGCTCCATGATTATCTCTGCGTCTGGGGAATATAGTATAACATATGCAGTCCCTCCCCAGGCTAACTTTTACCCTAGACCTCTTCATTCAGCTACAATTGAATAAAGAAAGAGCCAGCACTGTATTGATGTGGTTTCATCTTTAGTAACTTTGCTTTATTCAAGATCATTTTGTGAAATAAAACCCTTATTTTTCTCCAGAATATTTATGATGTGCATTTCACCTCCTGTAATATGATTTTTTTATGGAATAATAAGAACTCTGAACCAGATGGATTATAGGCTGATGTGTGTGATCATATTTCTATAAAAAGATTGGGGAAGGTAAACAGTATCGACTTTGAACACAAGTATGCTCACAACTTAATCATGCTAGGCAATCTACTATGCTTGGATTTATATTTCAAAAAGGATACACTGACTGACTCTATGCTAGTGTTTCTATTTTTGTGAATCATTCAAAAGTATTATAATGGAAATCTTGATAAATTAGAATGGTTATCAGAAATTACAGATTTTTTTCACCAGGAGGTTGATCATTATGCTACATTAAACTTAAAACTTGTAAATATGAAATGATAATGTTTGGCAGTTCAAGAGTCACCTGTTTGGCTAGGTTATGTGGGTAATACAGTTTGTGATGCTGCCTCCATTGAGGGGACATTTTCAGATACATGTGTATGTTGAGTATATGGGTAAGATTGGGAAGGGGGATTTCAGTAATGTGTTCATTATATCTGGACAGATCTTTTTTCCTTGATGACGCTGTCAGTTATGTGGTAACAGAGTTGATGCAAAGTGACCTGCACAAGATCATCGTTTCTCCACAACCTCTTACTTCCGACCATGTCAAAGTCTTCTTATATCAAATACTCAGAGGTGAGTAGTGAAAACGGAGGAATTCTGTAGTGAAATTCTACTGAAATATTTATATTAACAATAAACATTTTGACTTGATTTGTTACTGTCCAACTTAGCAGAATGTTTGCAAATTAATGTTTCTTCACAGATGCCTCTGCCTCAACTGGAAATGTTGTAGGGTCTATTGAAAAATTCTAATTATTCTAACATTGCCAAGTTTTCATTTTGCGTAGGGTATTGCTCTTCAGATAAACATGTTTTTGTTTGGTATAAGGTGATTAGCGTCACAGTGGTTACTCAGTATGGTAATTGATTGGAGCTGTAATGTGGAGAAAAATGTTCCAGGTTTCTATCCTTATCTTTGTGGGCTTCCTGGAATAAGTTTAAGTTGAATGATTAAAATATTCAAGGAAAAGAGTTCTGTTTAGTGAAATGTTAACTTAATTTGACAGGCAAAGCCAGCTAATTTCCTACATATCCAAAAAAAAAAAAAAATGAATTGCACTTTAATGAATTTTTCAAAATGTTTTGCCCGTTTTTTACAGAAAGACATGTTTTACATAGAATCACCATTGGGAATTGAATAAAAATCTTTTTAAAATTTTTCTATTTGAATTTAAATGTATTAGTTGACTGGGAATAGTATGTGTACAGAATGATGAATTGAATGCTTAGTTTAATAATAACTTCTATTCAGTATTGAAAGTGAGTGAGAAGTTGTTCATTTTTTCTAGGTGTGAAATATCTCCACTGCGCCAGAATACTACATCGAGACATTAAGCCTGGAAACCTGCTTGTAAATAGCAACTGTGTCCTTAAGGTGAGTCCATTCTGAAGCATACTACCATTAATAATAAAGTTGTAGCTGGCAGAATCCTAGGCGCTGTAATTACTCAATAAATTTGAACTTGTGTTTGACTGTTTCAGTAGCTAAGTACTTTTATTCAGCACTAAATGTTTCAATACAAACTGTATTCTATGTTTAGTTCTGAATATACTATTTAGGTAGTAAAGGATTGGCAATAAGAATCCATCATATTACAGACTGACAGTTAAGTTGATAGTAGGAACCTGGGTAAATCAATTTGATGTTTTATCTCCCAAAACCATGTTTCAGTTTGTGAACCAGATAAAAAGATAGAGGTATTAATAATAAAACTTAATTGCAAGTTGAGGTCAAGTAAGATGAATTGTTTACTGATGATTACATCGAGAAATAATACACACTTTGTAGTAAGTGAAGTGTTCAAAAATTTTGAATAATACCATATAGCAGTTGCTGATATATATTCCTGAAGCAACCATCAGTAGTTTCAATTCAGAGTAGTTTGGTTAGGTCCAGGTTAATGGGGTAAGATCAGTCATGTCCTTGAATTTATTCTATCCTGATACAATTTATCAAATGGGGAAGGATATCATCTTGCAGCTTCAATAATTGACCACGGCTTGACTTGGTTCAGAGAAAAGTTTTGTCATTGAAGTAGATTTTAAAGGAGAAAAAGTTCATAAAGAAAGGTTGAGATTTGTATACCTGATTGATGGAAAGGTGTTAGGAGTGGCGTAAATGTCTTGAAACTTGATTATCAGGATGGGAATCAAAATATATTGTAGACAAAGGCATGCTGACAAGGTTGTTCATTAATTTTATCAGCAGCCGACTGCATGGGTAAAGAGGGCATGGCATGCTGTAGACCATGTTAATAAGGGGTGATTGCATTCAAAGTGCAGCCTTAAGGGCAATATGGAGACTAAGTTCAATTTGCTAACTTGTCCCTATCCCCTCCCTGTTTTAAACATGTCGTAATTATTGTCATGATTAAAATAATTATCTCAAGTGCGCCATTTCTTGGTATCAAATCCCAGTTATGAATTTTTTATGAAGGAGTAGGGACTTTTCTACAATGGTTTGTTTGGTTGCGTTGTTAAAAGTAATTGTGATTGCGTAGACTGATTAAAACAGGAACTATTGTTCTATTCGTGATAGTTCAGAGATGAGTAAGGTCAGGAAATGTTCAAAGCAATTTTGTCGGTATCGTGACACCTATTTGTGAGGGAAATTATGTTTTTATGACTCAGTGCACACATTTCTTTTGGATAAGTTCCTGTTAATTTAGATATATCATTTGTATTTTTATGGTGATTATGATGCCTCATACTTTTCTATCGTACCAAGAAAAATCAGGAGTGTAGTAGTTTTGCAGTCTATGAGACTGAGGGCTGCATTTTTTTCATTAAAATATGTTTTATTTAGGGTAAATAAGAAAGTTAGTTGATTGGATCCTTGTCTTGAGACTGAAAAAAAAGTCTTTATTGGTATATCATAGTGAAGTTGGAAATGATTAATAAAAAATATTCTGGATGACCTCCAACAATAGATATCCCATTTCCAGTTAATGATTTATTTTTCTTGGATAATCATATCTTCCTAGAAAGTGTTTTTTTTTCCTGATGAGAGTATCATTTAGGAGTCAGTTCATTCAGTGTACAGCTGTATATCTGAGTGTTTTGTAATGTTGATGAGATGTGACCCTGAATGTTCCTCACAGCTGTGGAAATATATGGAGTTGAGATGTTCACCATCTGGACAGGCAACATGAACCATGTATCATTATAGCTCTTGTACCTATGAAAAATTCAGAAAGAAGGCCATATATTCCTTGCATAGTCACTTGGTCTTTGTTTGGCCTGTTTATCTTCTTTTGGCTGTTAGCGATGAGGATAATATACAGATATATTACCTTTAAAGATGTAGTATTGATGTGGAAATTATTTGAAAAAGAAAGGAGAATATTAGAACAGCTTCAAAGGCTAGTATTCTCTTGGTTATGGTGGTCTTTGTAATGCGGCATTGAAATATTGGTGCATAAAGTTGTCACACTTCTGCATCTGGTTATTTATGCATACAGTTTGTTTGGCTGTCAGTAGCCCCCATCTTATAACGCCCACCTGCCAAGAAAAAAAGATGAAGATCAAAGATGATATTTTTTCAGAAATAAATCTGATGCAGTGAACTAAGAGCTCGAGTCCAGTTAAAAGTTAATTGGTGATTTGAGTTCCCTTGTATAACCCAGGTCACGGAGAGGGCAGTGATCGTAAAATGTCATCTGGAGGGTTGAAGTGGGCAGGTGGTGCAGCAGAGATAGGGAAAAAAACAGGGCAAAATGGTCGTTTTTGTAGGGGTTGTGATAACAGGAATTTTTTGTGTTGTAGATGGGCAAAATGGTTTGAGATATACTAAATAAGAAATGCTTTGATTTTACTGGCTTATTTGATAGAAATTTGGTTAAGTTAACTTTGAATCTCTGCCTCTTTTAAGCTGTTTGATGAAAATGAAATAGCCTGTTTGTAGTTGGAAAAACGGGTTAATATTTCATTTACTAGACAAACCAGCTTCTGTGCACGGACATGGCACCAGTGGAAGCAGGTTTTTTGTGAGGAAGATAGACTCCTGTTTTAAGTTAAGTGCATGTATTGTGTCAGACAATTTACCCAAACATAAAATTCTTTTTAGAAAGGAAGCAGTGCAAAGACCATAGTTAGCACATTTTGTCAATGTTTTTGTTTTCCCCTAAAAAAGATATATATGCATCTGTGTCTGGTATGCATGCCAGTCTTCTCTGACAGCTGTTGTAATTTTTTGCTTTATGAAATCTTAAACATGAAAGAGATGAAAGAGATGCACTTTCAAATAGACATCAGGCAATATGTGAATCTTGTTTATTAAAGTATGGATGCTACCAAACAGCCGTTAAAATTTTGTTCATGAAATCGGACATGGCAACAGATTTGAAGATGACCGGAACACACTTTGTACTTTATATGGGCAGTCAGTCAAATATGTAGATTTTTTTTCAATCACTGAAATGCATATTCTATGAAAGTGATCCCTTTTATTAAATTTGTGGGTAGGGGCCTCACTCTTTTTTGTTTGGTTTTTGTCTTGTGTGGTTATCTTAATAAGTGCATTAGGTCGAATTTGTCTGGAAAACATCACAGAGTATTCTAGCTGAATAGACAACTGGTGTTTTGGTAGTACTTGTTATGATGATAAACATGAATATTTTTTACCTGCTGATCTATTTCATTTCAATTTAGATTGTTTTATTGATGTCACTTAGCAGTTTTGTGCATACTAGATTTGTTTGGTATCTGTTTTGTCAGCTAGGCTGCCTTGTTAAAAATTAAACTATACTCTAGACAGCATCCGTCATATTTTAAGCACATTTATTACTTCTACTGCCCTACTTTTTGTATTATTCTCAAGTTTATAGAAAAAGAAGACCTTCATCATTTCAAAACTTACAAGTATTTTTTCACTTTTTTTAGCATTAGGAGAGTGATTGTCTGGCACACTTCCTCTAAACACTAGCAACATTGTCTTTGTCATTGTAGTACCTTAGTTGTGTTACAAGAGGAAATATATTGAGGTGTAAAGACTCATCAATTTGATTTGATTCTGCTTGAAGAATTGGACTGCTGAAATGTAATCATTGGTCATGAATATAATTGTGGCATGAATTTGTACATGTGTTTACCTTCCTGTACTCCTTAATGCTATCATTGTCACGTCCTGTGAAGGAAGGAAAAGACAAAGCAAACAAAGACCACTACTCTTGCCATGAACTCTAATTTTTGTCTTATCAGCAGAAGTCAAATTGTCACGGGACATGTCAGGTACATAACATGATAGGGAGGTTGAGAATCTGACTGTTACCTGTCAAAATCTTCAGCCTTCTGTCCCCACACTGACCCTAGTTGCTCCCATAACTGACCTTGTAGTTAGCTTTCCATCATTCAGCGTGACTACTTGTGGTACTCACGCAAGCGTGTGAATTTTTTTAGAGCCATGGTGCTAAAAAAGCTTAATTTTTTACTGAAAGAAAGTGTGAAGTTGTTTGGTTTTTTGCCAACAAAAAATACACTGTCATTTTGGTAGAAAGTGATAGTAGATTAATTTTTTCCCTTAGGAAAAGTATGCTAGAGCAATTCCAGGAGAAATAAAAAAAGATCTTACTATATAAGAACTTAAAAATAAAACCATTACCATTGTTATTTTGGAGAGAGAGAGAGAGTTGTCATTCTAACAAATAGCCATCCTACTTTGTTCATCTTCTTTGTCTTCTTGCATGAGATATACTGTAACTTGTAAAACTAATCATTTATTACTCATCAGTCATGAGATAGTAGGTTTACCTTTTTATGAGTCTTATGGGGAATACTTAATTTTGAACATTAGGATAAGTTTTCAGTCCTAATTTTTTAAAGAGGAAATATGCATTATATTGTGCAAGTAGGCATTTTGCAATGGATGTCTGGCAGTTATTTCTTCTATTTAACCTGAAGGCAAGAATTTACATTAAAGAAATGGGTAGTATGGTTAAAAGGGCTGGTTTGGTTCCAGTGATGGCATGTAAATCACCTATTATGCAAATGTATCAGCTGTGCAGTCAGACAATGGCACTTCAGACAAAAGAAAGTATTGAGTGAATCGTGTAATTTTCTCCGTGTGATAAGTGCGTGTCTCTATTTTAAGCCGAGTCCGGCAAGGTCCTCTTTATCCCCGTGATGTGATAGCAGTTAATGTCAGCTGATGGACGAGTCACCTGGTGACCAGGGGGACAGAACAGGATCCCCTCCACTCCAGCTGGGGCACATGTGTGCACTGTCTGACCCCGCGGTCACAGGGAGCTGGTTAATAGGAGACATACCTGCTATCAACATTATCTCCCATCTCTTAGTCAGTCTCTTTATCTGAACTTCAAAGATGCTCATCTGCATACTGGGATTGTCTGGTTTCAAGATTTATGTGACTATGATATACTTTACTAGGTACTTACATGGGGAAATAATTAAATTAAGATGAATAAGCTAGTGAAGTGTTACCTCCCCTTTTAAGTGGCAATATCTTACTTGGGGTATTGCTCACTATGGTGATCTCCATCAGGTATATCAAAGTTGAAGAATGATGTTTCTTAAGGACAGTGAAGTTAAGAAAAATACATTTTCTTAATATAATCTAGGCCTAATTACAGGTGAAATCATTCTCTATTCACATTGAAAAAATTTTCAAATGCCTGTTTATATATTTATTTATTCATTTTATACAGAATGATACACTGTCTGAATAAAGACCCACATTGGCTTTTAACTATTCAGGCTTGACACAGGCTTAGTCATGTCTGCCTAGTTACCTAGCCACCTTCATGTATACCTGATACTACCCATTCATTTTTACAGATCTGTGATTTTGGGCTTGCTAGAGTGGAAGAGCCAGATGAGACCATCCATTTGACTCAGGAAGTGGTCACACAGTATTACAGGGCTCCAGAGATACTGATGGGGGCCACACACTATTCCTCAGCTGTTGATATCTGGTCGGTGGGCTGCATCTTTGCAGAACTGCTGGGAAGGAGGATATTATTTCAAGCTCAAAGTCCAATTCAGCAGGTGAGAAAGCTGATAGTGTTGTGTAGTCCATTGAAAATGTTGAAGACCATCTAGTCACTGTGGGGTTCTGGTTGATGTTTTAGGGCGCAAAGATGACTGATCAATCTAATTTGTGATCTGAAGGATCTCTGACAGAGTGGACAAGAAGTAGTTCCTGATTTGGGGAACTGTTTGATCTACTTTTCCTTGCTTGTCTTATGCTAATATTTTTTAAAGCAACTGTTGGAAAAAAGAAATTAACTACCCTATGTAGAGATTGCAGTTTTATTGTAGACATGCTTTTGATAGTTTTGAAAAGTAGTTGCTTTTTGAAGTTTTGAAAAACTAATATTTCCAACTTATTTTGAAATTCCAGTTTGTATCAGTTATTGGCATGATCAGAAAATTGTTGTAATTTCCATCATTGCATTTTTGATTCATTATTAACTTTGTGTCATTTCAGTTGGACCTCATAACTGATCTCCTAGGTACACCCCCATTAGACGACATGCGTACAGCATGTCAGGGGGCAAAAGCTCACATGCTACGACAACCACCCAAACCTCCGTCTCTCACTGCACTTTATACATTGTCCAGTCAAGCTACACACGAGGCTGTCCACCTGTTGTCCAGGATGCTTGTGTTTAATCCTGTGAGTATCAGAAAGGGACCATATTATATGTATCAGAAAGGGACCGTCCTAGCTGATGATTGTGTTTTATTGTGAAAGCCCATAGGAAAAGCTAAGAGACTTTCAGGGAACTTGTTGTGTATATTGGCTATGAAAATTGTAAAAAATCCTATGACACTAATTGGATTATCTCAGCAGGATTTAACATGTTTTGGTTGATGTTTTGATGGATTTCATTTAATGGCATAAGTCTTGATAATTGAGAATATGTTAGCTGAGACAATGTTAAAGTAAAAATTGGTTGAAGATATTTACAACATTGTACCTCCTAATTTACCAGTCATATAATTAAAAATGTGATGGATTCTTGTCCTTTTCATGTGCTTTACATGGAAACATCAAAATTAACAATTGTCATTTTGGCATTTTTTTTAAAGGAAAAGAGGATCAGTGCCACAGATGCCTTAGCACATCCTTACTTGGAAGAAGGCCGTCTTCGTTATCATTCATGTATGTGCAAGTGCTGCCATAACATCCCTGCTGGAAGGCAGTACACTGTGGATTTTGAACCAGTGTGCTTGCATCCTTTCAGCTATGCTTTTGAGGACGAGCTTACATCTACACATCGTGTAAAAGGTGGGTATTTTCCTTATTAATGTAACTGAATATCATATATATTTTTCCTTACTTGATTATTTAGCTCTAGCTTTAAATATGAAATATTCATATTCATTGGACAATAATTGTTCAAGCCTATATTTAAGCTTCTTTATGGGTAAGAACTGTAACCATTGTGGTGTCTGAGGGGTAGAGAGTGAAAATACACAGTTGCTGAACTTGACCATTATAACTTTCAGACAAACTACACAAGTTTATTCTTGAGCAGCAACAGGGCAATCGTGTTCCATTATGCATCAACCCTAACTCTGTGGCCTTCAAGAGCTTTGCTAGGTGAGCCACACTCACTGAGGAGTAGTGCATTAGACAAGTAAGATCAAATTCACTGTGCTAAAACCATGTGAATGTATGCATATATATATTTTAATGTAGACGTCAGCATGCATGTAAGAAGTTTGATGCTTTTATAAAGACAGTGGATTAATTGACTGAATTGTGGTAAGTTAAAAAGTAGAGGACTTTTTTTAATGAATGTTATCCTATTTTAAATGGAATAATTATGGGGATCTGTTCTTTTTTTTTCTTTGCTGTAACTCTTCACATTCTTTTGCTTGTACAAATGACAGACAAACATGAGCATTTCTTCAAAATGATGGGATGTTTACATCTAGTAGATTTAATAATATATTTAAATATTTAAAAAGGGCTTTGAAATATTTTGAGTACAGTGCTTTAAAACTTCTACATTTGTGTTTCCAGTTCATCAGTTGCCCATCCATCTGAATTGCCACCATCGCCTCACGTGTGGGACTGAGAGATTCCATCATCCCTGTGCATAATCTGTGCCATTCTAACCGCAGGAGTTTGTGTGCCTGTGAGCAATGGACCTACTTCAGCTGTCCAAGTGTTTTTTTACCAACATTATTTTCAATTTGAAGGATCAAGGCTCAATGATATTTAAAAGTTCCCAGACAACTTTTGGTTTTGTATTCATTTTATTGCTAATTTGATGGATTTTGTGCATTTTGTGATGTTGTCATAATGAATGGAAGCTGGACACATAGTGCGCCTTGTAATAATCATAGTTTTACAGAATCCACTAAGCACCGTTTGTGGTGCAACAAGAAAGGTGGGGAAAGCTCTTGTGAAATTTCCTCTACCTAGTTTTGATGGTCAAAGTTGAGGCCATGATGATAGTTGTTTATCACTAGTTAAAAGTTGGTGAAGGGTAAAATGGATGACCATTACCATTTAGCTGGTTTCTCTAATGTATCTCTATGTGATTGTGTGTATGTATGTATGTATGTTTGTGCAGCCTGAAAAAGATAGTTGTAAGTAGATGTAAATACTGAGAATCTATCCAAGGGCACTTTTTCGCTGGAACAGAATACCTCCCAAAAAAGAAGTGCGAAAATAGAATATAATTAAAGGCAATGCAAAGACTGGTTATAATGTACAAATACTGCACATCTATATTCTTCAGGCACACACTATTATTTTAAGTTATTACTGTATTAAAGAACAATATTGAAAACTGTGCTGTCAGTAACTTGCCATACAGGACTTTGGGGCAAAGGCAATATTAAAACTTGTCATGTGTAAACAGCACAATGAAACCTCTTAATTAAACTAATTCACTGTTGGATGACAGCATTTTACATTTTAGTATCTTGATAAGAACAGTTTGTGTTTTTTTATGTATATCTCTTAGATGTTTGTGACCAGATGCACTTAATCTAGTTCTTTGCACTGGCCAGTCTTATATTGAACCAAAGCAGAGTTTATTCTACCATGTACATAGATTTTTGTCAGGGAGGAAGAGGGAGAAAGTGACAACTTTTTAAATCCTTTTTGTGTAAGTCCTGTATTGTGAAACTTGTGTAACTTTTGACCTATAATGTGTCATCACAGAAAATATGTGTTGAGGTTGTTTATATAAACTTTTCAATCATTCCAACAAATTGGATCAAAAGACAAACGATACCATGGTGCTTTCCTATGCAAAAATAGAACTAATGTAGTAAAACATCCACATCTGTACCTCCCAAAGGGGTACTGAACAATCTCAAGGACAGGGTGAAAATATGTAAGTTTTATATACATCATATCAGCTCTTCCATATTTTACCTTCCTAGTTTGAGTGGTGCACTTGAGAAACATTTGCAGTTTTAGGCTTTGTCCTCCTAAGTACTACACCCAACTGCTGAGAGATCTCCATGGTCTTGAAGAAATCAATCATATTTTTTATGGTCCAGTGCAATTTTTAAAGCTGTTGACTTTGTTAACTTGCACGGTGGTCAAATCCTCATAATTATACAGATCACTATCCAGTTAATAGACTGTGTCATTTTAGATAAGTGGCTGGATAATCATGTCAACTTTCTCTCTTTGTTAATTGTGGCATTTGAAGTTCATAATTAATTTGTTGTAACCCTCATGACTTTGTGCTTTCACATGTTTGAGATTTAGTGGAGGCTGGTTACACTGAAACTTTCCAGTGGTGCATCATAAATGAAGGCAATTATTGACCAAAAACTTAACGAAGATCTCATTTTTGGCTTCCATTATCAAGCCGACATTATGTCTTAAATAAGCTGCTGCATTATCACTTACATCAGCTTTACTTGTATTTTGTCATTGTTGTGTTAAAAAGTTTAAGATGTTTTTGCCATTTTGTATCTTTAATTTACAAGTAAATATGTCATCTCCAGTATTCAAACACAGCGATGCAATCTCAGTACCTGTATACTGCAATGCAAATGTTATAAACAGGGTATAAACTCAAACATTTGATACTTCTTAAGGAGAAAAAATTCTCCATGTGGTTTGAATACCGTGCAATACAATCTAGAAATGAGAAGAAATTCTATCTAGTAAAAGTGGACTTTGTGTTGCTTTGAGGAGTTGTGGATATTGCTGCCACCTGTTGGCAAGCATTTTAAACCAGTTGAGGATTATGCAATATTTTAGAATCTTGCTGTAAATCCAAGTAAGACCAAGAGATGTTTGAAGAAATAGCATATCTTTAAATATTAGTCTCGTAGGTCCAATTGACTTTGTGTGTATATATCAATCTTGAGCTTACAGTTTATGGGAGTGTAGTATTTTTTGCATTATCATGTGATTGTGCAATGGGAAAATAACCAGTCACTGTGTGTGTTTTAGCTAAAGGGTTGCCTCATTTTTATTAGGAAGTTTCAGCTGAGCAGTAAGGATGTTGCCAGGAAATGGCAGAGCCCTCTGTCTCCTTAGATATTTTAAGCCAGACTTGTTAGTAATATGAACTAAGTGTTCTGTGCACCTCTTTAGGGTGTTTAAGCAGTTTGCTTAAACAAAAATAGTGTCTTAAATTTAATGATGTCACAAATTATATGACATCTGTTATGCCACTTATATTATTATAGAAATATATACTGGTATTGCACCTTAGATAGTTATCACAGTATTGTTTGGTGTAAGGGGTTTGAGTGCATAGCGCATATTTGTAGATGTCAGACAGTTGGACATCTCAAGATGGCAAGGCTAGTATCAATATATTCCGGTACTTCTTGAAAGCGAAAATGTTGATAAGAGGGATGATAAACTTATTAGAAAGGATTGTAAATTAATGAAGTTTCCCATTCAATAGAAACTCATTCCACAGTCATCTCTAAGCAATTACATTGTTATCAAACTGGTTGTTTCTACATATACTTCACTTAAACAAAAAATCACATCCTTTATTATAATTATTATGGAGCAATTTCCCAATCTTTCCAAAATCGTATTTGTAAGAATTCTAACAAGTTGACCAAATTAAGTAATGTTTAATCCAAATTCATCGGAGCTTACAAAAACATCAATGTAAATAGATCATTGCCATCTCAAGGATTGTTTTATTTATTTCAGTAAAAGAGAGATGTGTAGAATATTGTATAGTGCATGTTTCATATTTACGGAGATCTGGGGAAGTGTTTCTACAAGTCTAGTAGCACATAGTTGACAATAATTATATATGCTGTTGTCAGAGGGTTAGTTGGCAATTAAATATCTATTCTGTTGTCAAAAGTGATCAATGTCTAGATGAGTTACTAGTCAAAATGTCCAATTTCAGACCCCATGTGTTGTGATCACTTCATGCTCTTTGGTTTGGTGGAGATAGAAAACTGACCTTTATGTACAAATTATAAAAAAATGAAATCCAATAAAAACATGAAACTTTTATGTCTGAATTTTGAGATTGAATTCTATATTTCTTTTCAACACTTCCTTTGGTTTTGATGACATTGCTGGCCAGAAAAAAGTTTTGTATATGAGAACATTGGATATCAAGTGCTTGACAGAACGGGTGATTATAACTGGAACATACCCCACCAGTATGGAACTAGCTGGGAAGTTTTCTCTTCAATGTTTTATTGTTTAGATAGATAAATAATTACAATGCTCAAAGCTAAAAGAAAAAAATATTTACAAAATGTGATTAAAAGAAAATATTTACAAAATGTACAAAATTTATATTAATCAAAAATAAACAGTTTGTGCATGTCAACATGCTGTAAGTACTTAGTAGCCCTGATGCAACCTCTCCCAAGTTCTTGCATTATAGACTCTTATCCGAGAAGAGCACTGTGTAATCCAACAATTTTCTTGCTGTTTTATCACTTGCTTTCCAACTCCTCAGATGTCTCAAACTTCAGGACTGTATTCCATGATATGCAACTGAAGAAGTTTGACATAAAAATTTTAATGATTTTACTTTCTCAGCATATATATATAGCAGTGCTTGCTAACATTTGCCTCATGAGAATTCGTCTATTAGAAATTAGGATCACTAATATCCGTAGTCTTTTGGCCTAACACTTCTTCTTCCCACTTTGCTAGCTGTTCTACAAACCCCCTGTTAGGTCGCACTGTAGGACTACACCGTAGTGCATGCTGGTAGGCTTCCTGTAAGGAAAAAAAGAAGTAGGACAGTTTTTTTAAGTTGTAAAATCACAATGAGACCCACCAGGCTGTGAGTTGTCACATCTTATGTGTCACAACAAACACAATCAATTAAGTTCTATCACGGGAATTTCTACTGTGGCCATGCTTGGCAAGGATACAAAGGGCTCATTCCCATGGTCTATGTAGATCGATCCAACTCCCCGAGGACTAACTGAATGCAATCATACAGATTAACACACCTTCTTTTGTTTGCAATGTACTGTAATAATCACCAGCTTTTATGTTTCTACTCAACCCCAGACCTGTTTAGCTGATTGCATTAAGAGAGAGTCCCTCCAGGTAGACTGATCTACAGAGACCGATATTATCAATGGGCATGAGCCCATCCCTGCAACATGGACCAATATAGCTGTCATATAATATATTGAACATATGCAAGCAATATAAATTATATACCTTAAGTGTCCATTTATTGTGGTGCATTAGGTATGCCATCACAATGCAAGCACTTCTGCTGATTCCTCTGGCAGAATACACAAGAACAACACGATTCCCATTTCTGTGCTCGTCTGAAAAATAAATTATAAAAATGGAATTTTGTTATTCATATTTATGTAAAACTAAGTAGTCCAAAACTGAGGTAAAAAAAATTATCTAAACATTTCTATTCTTGGGTACCTGCTTCCTTGAATATTTGAATCAGTCTCAAAAATGTACAAATAATTATTGAACAAAGGAATAACTGTGGTTTCAGTCAGATGTTTAAACTCACCAAGAAAAGTACATGCTTCCTTAAACTGTGAATACATATCTGCCTCTTCATTGTCCTCAACAGGAATATGTAAGAGTTGCGGGCCTTGTTCCTTGAAACTAGAGTCATGAGAAATATACATGTTCAACTGAGTGTATTTTGTTTAATGATAAATCTATAATATTTCTTTTGTATTTTAGTTTTTTCATTAGCAGGTAAAAGACTTAACTTGAAGTCCATTTATAATAATTTTAGCAGAAAAGAAATATACAGCTCTTGACAACTGGCACATGAAACAACATATATTAGAACATACTTTTTTTTTTTTTTTGAGAAATTATGGCCCCAGACCTGTGCATTGTAATACCAGGCATGTAGGTGCTCAGAGGTTTAAGTGAACAGCCCCTTTGGCTGGAAAAAGGCTCACGGTCTAAATCAAATTTGCTTTGGGTTTTATGCCACCTCTTAAATAGGGTCAACTTAAAAAATAAAAAAGGTCTTTTTCAGAAATAGAACCCCCTGTGGAATTGCTGGATACATGCCTAATTACTGCACACTTACACGTGCACACAGTTGTTTCCATCCCTTTGCAATGGACCTTTTTTGTCTGTATAAAGCATCAAATCCAATGGCAAAAGCAGTATCATCATCATGAAAAATAGTATTTATAAATAACATCTATAAACTCACATCTCTCCAGGTTCAACACAGCAGTTGATGTGACCCTTGACCTTGAGATCTTTCTGTATATAAGCTGCATTGCCTTGTCTCATATTTCCCATGTATAGGAAACCTGGAATAACCTCAATGGGATACGTTTTCAAATTATCCATTTCCTGGAAAAGAAACAGAAATAAGATTTCTAAGATGTCAGTCCTTGTCACGTTCATTTCTTGAAACTAGGGATAAAATCAAGTCAGGATGAATCTTTTTGTTAGAAATGTTTGAAAAAAATCGTAAACCCATTCCTAAAAAAATATTTTAAAATAAGAGAAAATTAAAATTTGAAATGAATTGACTTTTTAATTTCTTACCTGGGGCATGAAAATTATCTTCTGTGTCCTGAGAAATGGATATAGTGCTGAAAAATCTTCATAACCTCCTAAAATACCAAACAATATTTTACACGTGAGACAAATCATGAGAGACACTGTTTGCATATTTTCCCATAAATTTTTAATAACCTCTCTAAACTGGACATATGCAATATCAAAAGTTAAAATGGATATCAAAAGTTAAAAAGACATAAGATTACCTTTAAGTATGTTTACAGGATTCCTACTTGTTTCAGCCATCACACTTGCACACTGATATGCAGGGCCTGTAAACAAGATTTGAGAAATTTTGCTTAAAGTGCTATAAGAGTGTTGTTTTATCTTTTTGCAACAGATAAAAATAGCTTAAACAAAAGTGAATTATGAACTGAATTATGGCTTTTTATCTAAAAAAAAAAAAAATGAACACTTATTCCTTTAACAAGAAACTACAATATTTGAATTCAAAAACCAAACTACACTCGCTGTTCTAACTGTAAAAGGACTTCTTGTAAGATCATCAAGCAGTAGATTTTGGATGTAGTTACTTTCTGTATCTTTTAAGCTGTCTGTGTTGCCATCATATACCACCACATGCTGTTTGCACTCAAGTTCAGCTCCATATGGCACTGTGAAGTCCCCATTTTCATTCTGAAGAAAAAATTGTTAATGTAAAGGAAAAAAATATATAAAAGAGCAAAAAAGTGCAAAGATCTTTAAAGCACATACGGCAAATAACTTTTGCTAAATACACCACGAAATAAATTTTTTGGTCTTCAGTATTTTCTTTTCCAGTTCATTTGAAACACTGTAACTTCTTTTTCTGTGTATTTTTATTTTGTTCATTTCAAACATAAACTCTTCAACATCTTTTGCCATTACAATTTATGAGTTCTAGTGTTTACAAAATCAATTTGTCCTTAATCTTTCACAACTAATTGAGTATAAATTTTCAAAGGAATTTTAATTAGTAACACAACAATAGTAATGAAAATAAATTGATCTCTTTGAATGAATTTTTATATTAACTGAAACATGCACACACACACACACATACACACACACACACACACACACACACACACACACACACACACACACACAAATTCAAATTTACTATGATTGAATGCAGTTTCTCTCCATTATCTATAGTAACTGATTCTTTTATGACACATGCAGTGTAACAAAACAAATACAATCATTCACCAACAAAATACCATTCCGTAAATCCAAATTTTCTATCACTGTCTTAAAAACAGTATATAAAACCAGATCAGAATCAGTAAAACAGGACATGTATTTTAGATAAATCACGTAAATCATGTATACCTTGGGAGCTTTTTTGGAGGTTACCACATGACTCTCATTGTATTCATGCTTCTTTCTAGCATCTGAAATTACAAAGCAATTACCCTTATAAAACACAATGTAAGGAAAAATCTTTAACTTGTACATATCATGAATGTAAGTCTGTTGTTCAATGACAGTGGGTACTTTGGCAGTTTCCACCCCCGCCCTGTAACTCTATACCAATTTTTTAATACTAAGCAAAATTAAATTATTTGGTGACTTTGATCAATGTCTCTGCTATTCAAATCAATTAGTTTATAAATTTACTAACATATTTTTCATCTTTTTAAATAAACCTCCAAGTTAATTAACCAATGAGATTTCAGCCCAGCAAAACATCAACTCTCCTAATATTTGAAGGGCATAATGTTTCATGTAAAAAAAATTCTTAAAATTAGTAATTGCCAAACTTTATTTGAGTCACAGAGACATTGCTCAAAGTCATCTCAAAGATATTTAATATCACAGAGCTATAAGGTGGGGGGAGGAGGGATACTGCAATACTGCAAAAGTGCCAAAAAGTGTACGTTACATCTATACATCTTCTAACTGCATATTATTTAAATTGAAGTGCATTTCAGTGAACTGATGAAAACTGTATCATACTGGGTATGCGACAGTATCATATCTCTACAGTACAGTTGTACAGATCCTTTTTTATTTACAGAAAACTAATAATGACTTATTACATGTATTTTTAGCATCTAATATATGACATGAACATGTAACTTTACATGTTTAATTACAGTACGTATATACCCCCGGTACATGTACTGAGTACTGGTATGTCAAAGATAAAAATTCAACATTTTAACTTGTAATTTTACTTGATGTTTGTATATTAAATGACAAATAACACAAAAAGTTAAAAAGCGTTTGATATCTCTCCAAAATCTAAATGACGGGCCTATACTGAATCCATATGACGTTGTTATTTGAAATTACTGCCACAGTGGCACTGACATATGAACTGTGAGCAAACGAAGTAAAACTTACTGTGTTAATCATTAATAAAGCTAATTAAAATAACTTACCAAGAAGCATCATATAATTCGGGTCGCTTAAACATGGATATATAGTCGCTGCATTTAATAAATTGTAAAGATCAGTCGCCTCTAGGAGCACTATTCCTGCCATCGTTATATTAAATTTGTGTTGGTTTTTTATTCTAGCAGGTGCTGAAGAACACAGTTTGTATACAAGTTTACCTCCTCACTTCCGGTGACAGAAAAATAGTCCTCATGTTATTCATCTTAATGTTACTTTTATGTAGAATGTTTAGAAAATACAAGATGACCATTACAACACAATTTTTTAAAAGAAACAATTGTTTGAATCAGCATTTGATTAAATTTAATGAAAATGTTTGTAAATTAATACGCAAACGTAAGATGTCTGCTATGTTGCTAGCCTTAGCCGAATGGAATTATGGGACATTATCAGGTTGTGCTTGGCTGGGGAACCATTTTGATTGTCCTTGTTAAGTTAATTTCGCAATATCTGCAATGTTGTCAAGGTTTGCAAGACCACGAGCCATTTCCCTCGTAGGGAATGCCATGAGGAACTTTTCTTCCAGCTCTCCAGTAAGTGTTACCTTATGTCTATGTCGTATTTAGAAGGTACGCGGCTCATGTGTGGACTGTGCACAGTGCCACAGTTGCACAATAAACGTGTTGAGAAAGAGCTTTAAGTAGGTCTAGGTCGTAGGCTACGTGCATTTTGTCATCTGAATAATGACGGTGGCTAAAAGTAAAACCTTGTTAAATATGCCAAATATTTTACATCACATGTTAACTTGACAACAGACTTTTTAAAAAATCTAAATAGAATTAGGTCGACCTAGCCAGACGAATGTGTTTTTAATGAATTTAAGCGCACTCAGGCTTATCTCCAGTACAGCCAGTAAAGGTGAAATAAATCCAAGTTTCATAACTTCCTCAGCTTATGTCAGTGGACAACTAAATCTAGATAAAGAGTCATTTATATAGATACCATACCTTGCAGATTCTTAGGAGAGTTTTTTAGAATTTCATTTTGCTATTAAACAGCAACTTTGCAAAGTTCTAAGGTGAAAAAAAGATAAAAGCCCTTATCTAATTTTCTTCTGGCATTGTATGCCCTGTTCACACTACCAGAGGTTTTAGCCCTTTTTACAAGTTCACAGTTCCAAGCCAACTGTTTGTCAATCAGAATTACTCATAATCTGGTCAATGAACTGGTTGTGTTGAGCACAGTGGGGACATAATTTTAATGACTATCTTACATTATAGCCATGCTATTTAGTTGTCAATCTTTCAAAATGGTGAGAACCAGAAAAGTGTACTACATGATGTGGAAATGGCCTTAAAGTTAGAGAGAAAACACTGGATCCCTAAGCCTAGTAAAAGTAATATGATTTTGCCTGGTGGTTTGAATGTATGTGCTCCCAGAATATTTGGTCATAAAAAAGCTAATGATGTGTTCAGATCTGATGGATGCTATAATTTAACTGAAATTATTTTAAAACCTCAAAAATTGTTTTCATTCTTCAGCACTATATACCTTTATGGATTATATACTGGTTTGTGCCTGTATGTAATAAATTGTGTACTAATAAGTTTTTGTTACATTTCAGCATAATGCCAGAGTGGCAGTAATGGGTGCTAGTGGTGGTATTGGACAGCCTTTGGCCCTTCTCCTTAAGGAATCTCCTCTGGTTACCCAGTTAGCCTTGTATGATATTGTACATGTGACACCAGGCGTGGCCAAAGATCTGAGTCACATATGTACTAAAGCTCAGGTCACAGGTTACATGGGCCCAGAAACCATGCAAGACTGCCTCACAGGATGTGATGTTGTCATGATCCCAGCAGGAGTTCCTAGAAAACCAGGTAATGTTGTTATCTTCATCGGGATAAGATATCAGTCCACTTACTGTGGGATACTACTTTCTTAGACTGACAAGTAAATTACAAAGTTTTGCTTGGGAAGTGATAAAAAAATATAAACCTACAGGGCATTTGCTCCATAATATGAAAGTGACACATTTTTAGACAGATTTATTGACATACACTGCCCTGGAATTTTTTCTCCAAATTATTATATTAGATTTGCAGTATTCAGTTAACAGAGGTATTTATGATGTTTTCCTTCATGTAGGCATGAGCCGAGATGATCTTTTCAACACAAATGCCAGCATAGTGCGGGATATTGCTGATGCTGCAGCTCAGTATTGTCCGCAAGCAATGATGTGTATTATTACAAATCCAGTGAGTATGCTTGTTATGTATTTAGGAACTACATTGTAAACATGTAAGCCATTGAAATAATTGTCATGTAAATGTAAAATTACATTGTTTTTAAAAAATATGGAGCAAATTTGTGTCAGAATCTTATGTACTGGTGTTTATGATTTTTATGCACAGGTCATTTTTAGCCATTTTAAAGCAAGTTAGGATAAATTAGTTTGGTTTAATCGTATTACATAGCTGAAAAGAAAAGAGGTTGCTATTATTAGCAAATTTTGAAATATTACCATTATCTTTGCAGGTGAATTCTACAGTCCCGATTGCGAGTGAAGTTTTCAAGAAGAGAGGCGTATATGATCCAAACAGGATATTTGGTGTAACAACTCTGGATATTGTCAGGGCCAATGCATTCATTGCAGAGGCAAAGGTATACATTACAAACTGCATTGCTCGATTAGGGTAGTTAAGTTACAGTGCATTCCTTTTGAAATTAGTTGTTTGCAGATATATGCCTTTCATAATCATTTGTTATTGATCAATTAAATTTGTCCTCTTGTTGGATTGAATAATCATCAAGTATTTTTCCCTTTTGCATAGTAGCAGAAAAAGAAACTGTATGGCTTGTTTATAATTAAAACAATTTATTGTCACTAATCTGGGTATAAACCTTTCAGGGCTTGGACCCCACTAAAGTTAAGGTCCCAGTTATTGGTGGCCATTCAGGTGTAACAATTATACCTGTTATCTCCCAGGCAACACCTGGGGTGTCTTTCAAACAGGTAAGAAGAATTCTTCGGTGAAATAAGTAGTTCATTTTGATATGAATAGACTTATTCCATATCTGTGTGAAACAGCATTCGTCATTTTGTAAGATGGAATGTAAATTATTGTTACTAAAGCCATTTTTATATGTCTTTGGGGAATGATATTTGTGTTGTTTTATGTATTCAGGAGGAACGAGAGAAAATAACGAAGAGAATTCAGAATGCTGGAACAGAAGTGGTAGAGGCAAAAGCAGGAGGAGTAAGTTCATTGGGGCATTGCACTACTTGTTTGGGAGGCTCTTTATGTTGTTTGCATTGTAAATGGTATCTAAAATCCACAAAAGTGGATATTTTTTCCAGCAAAGATAAGATTGGTATTCATAAGTCTTTAAATGGGGGAGTGGAGAGGATGGGTGATGTAAATATTATGCCAGATACATACTTAGAAAAACTGTGTTTCAGGGTTCAGCTACTTTGTCTATGGCTTATGCTGGGGCTCAGTTTGCGTTCTCTCTCCTACAAGCAATGAATGGCAAGGAAGGAGTTGTGGAGTGTGCATATGTGAAATCAGATGAAACGGATGCTAAATACTTTTCTACTCCTTTGCAATTGGGGGTAAGTTTTTTTTTTCTTGCTCTATTTTTGTTCATTAAGATGTCTATTATGAAATGTAATGATTTTGTGTCATCTTTTTGAAGAATATTCACATTATTTAATTAATTGGAGCTCTGTTGTAATCGTCATCCTTTTCTATTTATATTCATTTAAGGATAAATATTGAAGATCATAATATGTTAAATACTACATAATTTGAATATTTTAGTTTTAGTACCGCATGCTTTTGCTTCAAAATGATTTGATCAAGCTTGGCTGAGCCTGCATCATTTGCTTGTCTGCTGTAGTTTTTATGCTGAAACCAGCATTGTGTGTGGATTGACAACAAGGTTTTTGGGGCACTTGTCCTAAGGGCAAGTGCTGTCTCATATTAAATTGCTAAAAAAAAAAAGGATTTTTACACATTATTTTGAAATGTCATTCAGGTCAGCAAAAAGTTTGAAATCTGTGTCAACCATGGCAACCTTGTTGTTTTTATTTGCCCAAGGGTAGCCTTATTGTCAACCCTTGTTTGTATATTATGTTTTTAAATTTGATTTTTGTTCCTTAGTTGTCAATCTGAAATAAAAGAAATATATTTCATTTTCATATAGTGGGATGAATTTTTCTAATTTTGGTTGTTTGCTCTGAAGTAATTTTTATCATCTTAACCTGATTAAATGAGTGGCATTTAGTCCATTCTGTTCCCAAGACATTCCTAAATGTTTGCAATATTAGTAAACATTTAACATTTAAGTCCAGCAATTCAGTTTATTTGTCTCGCAGCACATGTAAACACTGTTTAATGTTGGAAACAACCAAACCACAGTGAGTCAGTGACCATCCAGTTGGGCCAGTATAATGTGAATCCAACTGACCTGATGGACTTGTTATATTTCGCCTTGGTGTGACATACTCTGGGATTTAGTGAAATATCTTTAATAGCACAAAATTAATGAAGACTAGTCAGTGTACAAACTTTAAAATTTTGTTTTATAAATTTGAAACCAATTAGTATTTTCTCCAAACAAGTGAAGAAAATTATTGATAATGCTACTGGGTCTTGTAAATATGTTAATCAAAATTTTAGACTTTTTATTGAACACATAGCAGAGCGATCTATTAAATGATACCATTTCTATTAAATTTCCATTTCTTTCTCATTGTTTTTTTTCCAACTTTTCACCACAGGCTGTTCAAATCCTTTTCATATTGTTAAAGATTTCTTGTTTTGCATGTTTATATCTGTAACATTTTAAGTACAGAAATTCTGAAAAAAAAAATGGGCCCAAGAGAAACAAAATTCTTGTATTAAAGGTTTTACTTTTGTGATTTATAATGAAAACTCAATTTGAATATATACTTACATTTCACTTTTCACTGCATTCATGGCAACATCAGTTTTGCTTTTTGTGTTAAAACCTGATTGTATGAGATAGTTAAAAGAGGGAAGATTTGCACCATTGTTTATTTGCTTTGTTACTAATTTTTTTTTATTATTTTAGATATTTTTAAAACTTACTTTTATCTGATTTTAATTCTGCTTTTCTAGATATTACCATTTACAAAATAAAAGAATGAATTAAATTAATATATTAGATAATTTAATATTCATTACTTTCTTTTATCTGATTTTAATTCCTCCTTTCTAGATATTACCATTTACAAAGTAAAAGAATGGATAAAATTTATATATTAGATAATTTAACATCAATAACCATTTTGAAACAACACTAACATTTTGCACACACATCACTTGTTGGTTCTGCAACTTTCTTATTGTTTCCCTTTTGGGAATAAAACAAAACCGAGCCTGACTTTACAAAGCATTTGAAATGTGTGGATTTGCTTGCTGCAGCCATATGCGCATGCCTTAAGCTCATGTTGGCTTTTGTTTAATTTCAGCGCAATGGTGTTGAGAAAAACCATGGAGTTGGGAATCTTATTGAATTTGAGTCGCAACTTCTTGATCAAGCAATGGATGAACTGAAGGCTAATATTAAAAAAGGAGAGGATTTTGTTAATCAGTAAAATAATTTGCTGCTGACTTTACTTGCATTAAATTGCGTTATGTTACAAAGCTTCATTTGCACTTTTGAAATTGCCAGACAAAAAGCACCAAGACAGCATTTAGAACTTGTGGCATTTGAGAAACTTATTGTAATCTATGCTTTATGATACTTAATTGAATACTCAGCAGAGCAATTATGATCTGGTTTCATTTGCAGTCATAAGTGTTTAATTATTGTAGATGTATATATGATCATAATAAAGAACAAGAGGGTACAAATGAAAGTAAAGATTTTGTTCAAGATAAAATCATTCTTGTAATAAAATTCTGAGTTGGATAGTAAGTGGGCTTTTTTCTGTGATTGTAATTTTAATGTGAAGAGCGTGCATTCTGTGTGTGTAGGTAGGACAACATGCCTGACACACAAGCACAGATTTGAATTTTTATTAATTAGATATAAAAATCCTGTCATTAATCACGTCAACCAGCAGCTGGTGATGGACAGCAGTCAAATAAAGTCAAATATGATTAACTTTTATCCCATTTATTGAAGAACTTTTAGGTGAAAGAAAATATTGGTTAATAGACTACTGCAAATGGTTTACTGCTTTGCTTATAGAAAGGGGAATATGCTTCTAAAGTCAGGAACCACATGCTAGCCCTCCTTTTAATAAATGTGCTGAATTAGTGCAGAATGGCACTTGAAATGCAAATTGTAATTGTACTTTAAGAGTTGCAGAACTGAAGATGAAATTTTTGCACCCCATTGCAAATAAACAGCACTAACAGTAGCATGACTTTTAAAAAAAGCAAAATTTCCATTTTCCTTCTTTGAAATTGGTTTTACTTTATTGCATGCATAGTGGGCTAAGGGAAATAACTTCTTTTTTTCATCTCAAAACATAGGGCGAGAACTTGCATTTCCACTTTACAGGATGTGAAACACCTATTCCTGGCTTATGCTTTTCATCATGCAATTTCTTTTCATTTTAGCCAAGTGGTATGTTAGACAATTTGGGTATTGGACACTTAACAGAATTTGAAATGAACTTATTAAGAAATGCAATGCCAGAGCTGAAGGACAATATCCAAAAAGGAGAAGACTTTATTTTAAAACAAGCAGAGTAACCAGAATTTTCTCCTAGACCACCAAGGACATCAGTGGATATACTTATTATAAAAATTGAAAAAAATATCACAGGTAAAGGTTTTCATCAGAAGATTATCACCTTTTCTCATGTGATACATAAAGCTATCGCTGGATATGGGGTACTGTGTTACAAGAATTAACCACAAAGCCAATGCATTTAGCTGATGCAATACTAAAATTCATCAAGAACATAATTTTTTGTGCAGCCTACAATGTAATAGTACATTTTTGTTGACTTCGTTATAGCAAGTCATTGCCTGTGGCAGTGTGGCTTCATGTAAGAATAATTAGCAGTTTTATGTTATTTTATTTTTATAAGCTGAGGATCTATACTAAGTCACAACTGATGTTTTACCTCCCTACATGCTCAAGTCAGATGGTATTGGTGCATGCGGAAATGCCAAGTATTTTATTTAAAGGGATAACAACTTTCATATTAGATTGAAAGTTTCACAGCTAATACATCATAAACAACACATATACATATAATAAATTCCATTTTACCACCAAAATGGCAGTAATTGCAATTATTCTAAAATCTATGCTTGCCATTGGACCATGTGGACCATTACAGGTGGCTATCCTCTACAGTAATCTCTTAAGAGATAATTACAAAAACCATGCTAAAAAACTTTTTAAAAACAATCGCCTTATCATTGGAAATTAGGAAAATTGTCGTTTGCCTCGGGGGAAAATCTGTTTTATGGCACCTTTCTCACAAAAAGTAAAAGTTGTCATCCCTTTCATATTTCAGTTCGTTCACTTAGGATCAGAATTTATTATTTTTTGTGGTTTTTGGTCAATACTAGGTTCATAGTAAATTAAAGATTTTAGGTGAAGTCATATATCCTTTGTTTAGTCACACACACAAGTCTGATGTGCAATGCCAAATTTTGTCCATAAGTTGTTTTTCTAAGAACCAGTACTGTAGTAGTAGTTGTGGTAATCTTTTGAAATATTATTGTAATTACCTGCTTGTTTATCAGGTATATATGCCATTTATGATCATTCACTTGAATCCTGTTTTGTTAAAGTATTATATCAAAATAGTTTTTTATGTTTATGTTTATTTTAAAGGTTGTCTGGAGATGCATTTAAATACGAAATGAAGCCAAATTTATGCCAAGATTATAAAGCCTGACAATTACTGTGTCAAACAGCGTTTCATATATGATAACCATTATTTTTACTGTTTTTTTTTTCAATTTGCACTTTAAAGTTAGTATAATTTAGTTTCTTTCTCTCACTGTTAACCTAACCCTTTTGTTTCATGAAAAAAAGTTTTAAAAAAATTTTCTAAACACATTTGGAGACGAAGTGACAAATTTATTGATCCAAAATGAAATCCATTGCCATCTCGCTTTAGTATTATATATGCATGATCTTGAATCAGTAAAAGTAATGAAAACTCTTTTAAAGCAGCTTCACCCCAAAAAAGGATGAATTCTAAAGCAGGCAGCTTTTGAAGTATCTGTCACTAATTTCCTGTGAAATCTGACAAGACGGTAATGTACATGTACAATTGCAAATGAACAAAGCAGAAACTGCAAATGTGCATAATTCCATGCAGTTGGCCACACATTTCAGATCAAGATGAACAATTTACTTGACTTTGATGTCAGGTGATATGATCTTCAGGCATGAACCAAGGGGAAGGAGTACTAATTAAGGCAAAATTTCGTGGTAGACTTTGGGGGTGAACAAATTAATGTACTGTAGTTTTACAGGCAACTCTGAAGAAGTAAGTTTTTATTTTTGGTGTGTGCGCGGCACATGTTATCACTTTCAAGACAGCTAGACTCATTGAAACATACACATTGGAATAAAATAACTTACCTAATAAAGACATTTTGTTTCTTTTATTATTGATCAAAGCTAAGATCTAATATAGATCTTAGATCAAAGTAACTGCTTCAGATCAGTGTTGCTTCATTACGTAACGTACAGTACAATACAGAATTTGTCATATTTTCTGAAATTAAAAAAAAATCCAAAATCATACGTAAAATAACAATCTAGATAAAAATCAAAATTTTTTCGTTTATTAGTTTGCAGAGGGTACAAGACGTATTTAAAAACAAGATTCCAGAGTTATTCCAAATATTGGGAGAGTGATTTAAAGATTGGCGCCATGTATGCGCACTGATATTTGTACTTATATACCCTAATAAAATATTCCGAACAGGAGAGTTGTAGACGAAAAATACAAAAAAAAAACATTTTATTTGCTTATTTTCATAGATTGATGTAAACTTGGACAGCTATGTCTACATGCTGCGTATTGACACTCAAAGGCTGAAGGGCCTGGGCCCCGTAACAAGCATCGCGCATTTGAGACCGAGCACAAGCGTCTCGACTCCATATTTCGCCCATATTCGCCCCATATAATATACACTGTAGCCTCTATGTGACATAGCTATTCACCATACGTGATGCTTACGGGCCCCAGGGTAGTGAGGAAGCCACGCAATGGAGCACGTTGATTATGACCCAGGAGTTCACGTTACTGCTACGACGGAAACAAACGATGAGGTGGAGGAGTTAGAGGTGAGTTTGTTGCATGGTGTCTTAGTGAACTCTCTTATATACGTGGCGCATGATTAAAGAGCAAAAATACAAGACATTTCACATTGCATGCCGTGTTATCTCAGATCTCCCGATCTGGAGGGGGGGGGGGCAAATTCATGATGTTCGCTGCATGTTTTGACTGTCTGGGGGGCATACAACCAGCTGGTATATTTTATTTATATAAGAGGTAATTCATGTGCTTCTAAGTGCATTGTTAATACGCAAGACACCCCTCAATGCAGACATACAAGGTTATTTTGAATGCTCAGCACTTCCTCGGAGCAACTATAATGTGTTGTAAATTCATTAACATTTCAATTTGTTACATGTTGGTCATATGAAACCCTGTTATTTTTGTTACAAAGGTGTAATCTGCGTATGATTAACAGCTGTCATCATGGCCAGAAATTACATGGTCAGAATCTTAATGCATCCCACCACATGTTTGACTGTAGCATGAAAATTCATGCGTTAGCATTCCTGTTGACGATTCTGATATGTCAATAGGAGTGCTAACGCATGAATTTTCATGCTAGTTTGACTGGTAACTTTAGCTTATAGTTGGGACTTGCACTGAAATACAAGTAACTATTTGTTCCTCCCCCATATTTCTGGGTTATCTTGAACATGTTATTCGTCTTCCATGTTGTAAATGACATTTTCAATCATCACAACATCTTCTGCAGAGCCAGCTGTCTTGGCATTTTTAGAAAACACATCATTTGACCTTCTGTGCTTTGTTGATTTAGCATACAGCATATTCAGATCTACAGGGCTGTTTCCTTTTTGGTCTTTATCATCATCACTTGCCTGATAGTGTGTCGTCAGATGCCTATCAGGTGTTTCTACCTGTATTTCATTTTCAATATCAATCACACTATAGTGGTTTCCCTCTAGTTCTAGTTCAAAATACAAGGGGTCATGGGACTCCTTTTTAGAATTACTTGTACATGGGTTATTGTAATTTTCCTGATCCTCCATATTGATATCTTCATATTGGTTGTAACATCGCTGATCTATTTTATTATTGTCTTGCTTGAGCAGTATTGGATTGAGCTTGTTTTCTGATTCAGATGGGTTGTGATCGTCCTGATCCTCCATATTAATATCTTCATATTGATTGTGGCGTCGTTGTTCCTTTTTATCAGTGTTTTCTTGGAGCATTGCTGAATCAATTTCATCATATTGGTTATGGCTTTTGGGATTGTCTATTTCTGTATAGTGGTGGGTGGTAGTCCCTTCATCAACCTCACTGAATTGTGTGCTGCTTCCAGCAATAAGGTCAACAGCAGTGTTTTGATGACAACTGTGCTCGCTAGCCTCAGCATAGTACAAGCTGTTTTCCGTTTCTATCACATACTGGTTGAGCTCCCCCTCACCTGTTCCCTCTTTGCCAGGATATCTTCCAGAGAGTAGTTCTATATTTGAGCTCTTTGTAGTTGAAAGAATTTGACAATGTGACATTCTCTGTCTGAAAGAGAAATGATAAATACATTGATAATCTGTTGTCTTTCTTTTCTGTTTTAACAACATCTACATAAAGGGGAATATAATGTCTGATAGACCATTTCAAGTAATTATGATCACCTTGGATTACTTTCTTAGCTCATTCAGAAAGGTTCAAAGTTTTCAATTTTACCTGCATATTAAAATGACTGTTATCAAAATCAGCAGCAACACCAGGAAAAGGCTTCCTCCCACTGCTCCTCCAATAATGGCACCTAAAACATGAGCAATGGGACTAATTTTTTAATAACTCCTCTCATTATAGGTTAGTGGTAATAAGAATAAAGCAATTCTGGTACGTACTAGTGTACATATTTTTCTTTTATGAAAGGACCATTAACATTTAAAGAAATAAAGGAATTTAAAAAAAATATTTCTCAAAATGGGAATATTGAAATAAAACTTATAAGATACCAATTTCGTTTTTCTTTTTTTTTTAAAGTTGAAATACATACCTGAATTTTCACCATTCCTTATTTTGCTAGCAGGATTCAACTTGATTTCTGTTGATGTACGAGTAGAAAGGTGTTCTGATTCAGTAGTGGTGACAATCTTGATTGAACTAGATACAGTTGCATGTTCATTGGTTTTGTCAGTCCCTGAAGTCCCAGAATTGTCAGTAGTTTCCCATGCCCTGCTATATGGAGTAGACTCTGGTAAAATTATTTCAGTATATTCCTGTGTTGCTGTCATTGGCATTGTTGTTATTGATGTTGTGGTTTTTTGTGTACTGGTAGACATTGATGAAAAAGACAGGTACATGGATGTATATTTCATGAGTGGTGATGAAGAAGAAAGCAATATTGTTGTTTTTGTTGCTACTGCTGCTGCTCCTGAGCAGGTGTATGTAAGAATAAGGTTATTTGTCCTGTTGTATAGGCAATGCGTATATCTGGATTCTGTAAGTAAACTGCAGCTTTCTCTGTGATCACAGATAACCTGTATGCCAGTTGGGAAGTTCATATTGCACCCTGGTATACTTCCTTCAGAACAGTTGTTGTCAGGGGATAATGTGTAGCCATACAATGCTGCCAGCACTGTGATATTGTACCCTGGGGGGCACATAAGTACCATTTTATCTCCTGCACAGCTTGCACTTGTAAAAGTACCTGCAAGAAGTATATCAGTTATTAAAGTTTAATATCTTGTATTTTAAAACAAAAGTTTCAGGGGCTCTTTCTAGAAAAGAGATTTAAATACTTTGCAGACTGTAATACAAAAAATAACTTAAGTTTGTTTGGATTTGTACACCAAAAGTTACTTATTTGTAATGTTTTTTAAATCAAATTTCTCACTCTTCTTACCTGTGGTCTGTCCACCAGTGGTCGAAAACATAGTAAAAGTATGTCCAAATACTAAGATAAAAAGATATACGAACTTTTCCATATTCCAGTCAGCAGTTCACTTTTTCTCATGTATAAATCCTGGCCCTGGAAGTATTTACTATGAGCCTACCAAAGTCCTCCTTGAACAGCAGTCAAAAGATCTTTTTTGTGAGCTTTTGGTTATCTGGCTATTCAAGTATATTTCAGTGGATTTGAAGAAGGGTAAAATAGTAGCACAAAAGATCATTTCAGTAGTTTCTTCTGGTTGGAGTATTGAGGTCACTTCCTGGTTTGGTTACTCTTTTGAATAACAAAGCGTAATTGATTTAATTCTAGGTCATGTTGTCGTTGTATTGGTTTCTTTGTAGTGTACCAGCATGCAGAGACTTGAGGTGAACAAACATTTCTTGTAGTTTTCCATAGAAGTTTTTTTCAACAAATAATATAAAATGATTTTTACAGAAAATATCTATGTTTGTTTTGGGATATCTAATAAGCAAGGGAAGACAAATCAGGCTCCATTTACCTCTCTTTGGATCAATAAAAAGATCTGAAAATGTTCATGTTTTAATCAAAAGTGACAAATTCCTAACCGAGACTCTGTGTAGTTAGCAATTTTTTGTAGATTACTGAATAGTTTGGTGACAACAGTTTCTCCAAATGTCACATAAGCTTTTTGAGGTACTTAGACATTAAATACATTATTTAGACAATAAGGACTATGAAAGTGACACATTGCAACTTCTTGGAATTCACTTCAGTATTTCATCACCCTAAACATGTTTTTAAGTAGTGACATTTTTTCCAAACTGGAAATAATAGTTTCAAAATATGTGAACTGATATTTTATGCTTACATTGTAGGATGACAGCCCAGAAGATTTAGTTTCCCTGAAGCAGGGCCTAGACTTGGCTCAGCTCCAGCAGGGAGATGGTACAGTGTTTGAGGTGGATGAGAATGGACTGGTGGAGAAGATGGGAATCGCAGAGGGTATTTGTTATTGTGACCACTTAGAACATTCTTTTAACTTTTTTGTTGTGTGTGTATTTTCTTTTATTCCGCCTTTCTTTAATTCTGTCATTAATTTGTGATGAAAATGAATTGGGAAAATTAGAACTTTTATTAAAAGTAGAAATATGAAAAATTTCAGGATGTTGTAAGTGTAGAACTTTTATTAAAAATAGAAATATGAAAAACTGCAGGATGTTGTAATCTGTGAAATCTGCACAAACGACAGTTTCATCATGATAATTTAACTGTCACAAATTTTTTCCCTTTTTTACAGCACAAGAAAAAGAATACTTTTCAAAGGAAGCCAAATTGGCAGTGTACAGTTCCGTAGCAGAATGTGGTCTTCCAGATGATGATGAAAGCACAGAGCAGTATCACTCAGACGATGACAATGACACTGATGATGAAAGTGGTCCATCACCCTTTCAGTTATTAGCAAGAAACATGCAGGACCTGACTCCTCCAGAGGGAGGGGTGTTAAAACAGGTGCTGAAGCCTGGCACAGGGGATGTTGTTCCAAAAGAGGCATTTGTCCAAGGTATGTACTGGGGGTATATGCAGAGATTTGATGCACTGAATTACATGAAGGAATTTAACACTCCATAAAGAAAGGTTGAATATGAATGCTGAATGTGAAATGATTTTTTTTTCTGAAAAAGTTTGTTCATGCAGAGTTAATGAATAAAAGTTGATGGTTTTTCATCTAATGTCTTTTGAGTTGATGCTAAAAGGTCTGTGTTTAAATTTGAATTTTATGAATGAATTGCCACCTTCACCACTTACAAATACTGGTAAAGTTTACAGACGTATAACAGTGATTAATAGATCACTCTTATTTGACCATTTCAGTACATTACAATGGATACCTAGAGTACTCTGGAGAACCATTTGACAGCACCAGATTGAGAGACAGACAGTTTCGCTTTCAGCTGGGCAAAGGTAGGTCCAAAAGTCACATAAGCTCTAATTTGGGAATATAAATGAGATGTAAGTTTTTGATGACCATTTTAATTGCTCCATAATTTTCATAATTTACTAGAATGAATCTGCCAGGCATGGTAATGAGACGGAGAATAGTGTGACAAACTTTGTAAATGAAAAAGAAGGAGAAATGTAAAAGATGGTGAATTTTGAAAGATGATACCTTATAATGATACAAGTATTAAATTTAAAAGCAAAAATCACTTTGTCAGTTGATGATGAATTCTAATTTATCACATGCCTAATATTCTCAGTTTTTACTTGTAGGAGACACCATCATGGGGCTGGAAATAGCAGTCTCTTCCATGAGGAAGGGGGAGTTGGCAAGGTTTATATTTTCCTACAAATATGCCTATGGAGAAAGAGGTTGTCCTCCAAGAATTGGAGAGAAAGCAGACGTTATGTTTGAGGTGGAACTGCTGAATTTTTATGACCAGGGTGCTGTGGATGCATTTTATGAGAAAACTGAGGTCAGGGACGTTGCCATTATTATTATGTCGAATTTGCCTTTGCAGCAAGTTACTGTACTTTCATGTTTTTAGATGTTACCAAGAATGTAAAGTGATGTGCATGCTTTCTTTATGGTTCCTAATTGTAGATTAAGTTTTATGCATGATTTCTCGTGACTTATAACTCAAACCCATCACAGTCAGTTGTTTCATATAAAATATTTCCGAGTTTCATTTTTTTTGCGCAGAATATCAAGTTACTGAAATTTACCTTAATGTTTAAGTAGAAACATCCATTATTATCTGAATTTCAGGAAGAACGTCGAAATGCGCCTTTAAGTGAAATACTCAGAGTTGTGCAGCATGATAAACAGGTAAGATTACATTTTGCCTTGTTGTTTGTTCCATATAATCCTTAACAGCTTTTTCCTTGCTGCTGAAATATGTTACCTTTGTCATAGAAAATACTGCCCTAGAATATTTTTCATCAAAGACACCAATGTGGTATTTTCATTCATTTTCATATTATGCAGACATTTACTTTTTGTAACATCCGTGTTTTTTTTTTTTTTTTTTTTTTTTTTTTTTTTTCTTTTAGAAAGCAGGAGAGTTATTCAATAAACAGAAGTACAGACCTGCCTTGAATTTATACAGAAAGGTGAAAGTTAGATTTTCCTTATTTTTATTTTGAATAATGATTAGAGAAAATAGCTGAGAATCAGGATAGATGTAAATGTAACAGTATTATTTGCTAGGACAGGTATGTGGATATATGTATTAAAAGGAAACAAATTAAATCCATGTATATGATCTATGTTGGATGGTGTAAGACTACATACAGAATGGTTTTAAACAAAAAATCTCCTGAGAAAGACACTTGATTTATCCTGTGCAATCAATCTGTAACCTTTGAAATAGGCTAAAAGAACAGTAAGTAGTGAGAAGATTAGTGAGGGAATACATGTAGGGGTTGTACCAAAACAGTGCTTGTTAATTTAAGAGAAGTTCTGCAGGCAGCCTTTTAATATAATTATTTGCAGTCATTGCCGTCCTTTTTTACTTTAATTCATATTTTACTTTTTTTCTTTAAGATAATCAGGACTCTTGAGGGAGTCCATCTTCAAAATGATGATGAGGAAAAGGAACAGCAAGACTTATTGCAGAAAGTGTATCTCAATTCAGCCAACTGTAACACAAAACTTTCACGAAATGCAGATGCTGTGAGAGACTGCAAGATGGTGATGGAGAAGGATCGGAACAATGTCAAAGCAATGTACTTACGAGCCAAAGTAAGAAAATGTGGTGTGTTGCATTTAGTGAATTACATTTTTTTTACATATTTGAATTGTTGTACCACAAAATTGCAAGTTAAAATGCAGTAGGATACCTTTTTAATTCCAATAATTAGTTTATTAATTTCTCTTTAAAACAAAATATTTAAAAAATTGATGTAATTGCCATATTTTTTCTTTTACAATTTCAAATTTTGTTGGCAGGAATGATTTTTTAAAGCAGAAGAAATATACAGCACATAAATACTATTCTTCCATTCATTTTTTGCTGACTTCAGGCACTTTACCAGGATGGAAAATTTGATGGTGCTATAAACTGGATTAAGAGGGCACAGGCAAAAAGCCCAAATAACACAGACATAAATAATTTACTGGGAAAAATTAATGAGTAAGTTACGACAGTGACCCTCCATAGCCATTGACTGGTTGCACGTTGCTTAAAATACATTGCTTTTATTTTTTTTCTATTTTTTAATGGTTTTAAAATATAAATAGTATTATAGAAACTGTTTTGATGCTTTAAATGCTTAAAAAACTAAAATGTATCATGGCTGTTCTCAATGTTTTAAGGTTATTATGTAGTTCTGAGTTAATCTGTATTTTGTGTACATAAGAATACATAATAATTATAATTGCAGTGACATGAACAGATTCAGGCAACTAGAAATTGACGTTTGCAAGAGGATGTTTTCACAGCCAGGGCCAAGTATGGCATTTTTGTGACTAGAACATTAAAAGTGAATTCCTATATAATAATATTTATCCTTCACACTTCTAATATCTTAGATTGAGTGCTATACTTTTTAGTATTGATACATTGGCATATGAAAGATCCAATGGTTTTTTATTTATCTAACACCTTTATAACTATTGTTATGATTGCTGTTGCTGCTTTATGAAATATGGCAGTAGCTGTTGAATATAAAAGATAAAATTTAAGGTTTTCATTATTTGCTAACAAATAAGTACATGTTTCTCTTTAACCTGTAATGCTTTAGAGGAAGATCCCAAGAAGGAAAGTGAATCTTCAAAAGGAAATTGTTCTGAAGAATTTAAGAGATCTTCAAGAGAGGGACTTCTGTAAGTATTTTCTATTTTAGCACTGTGCTGTGGAGACCCCAGAACCTTGATAGCTTCATATCTCTCAAGACTTCAGTCTTCACAGATTTATCAGTTTGAAGATATTTAATCAACAAAAATTCTTTGATGTTTATCATTTGTAAATATGGTGCAGAAAGTTTGGTATTATTGTAATTGTTAATTATTTCTGTATATAATAATAACAATAAATTTATTTGAAAAACTATGCAAGGACCTTAACAATGGAAGCACACCACAGGGTCAGAGGTTCCCTGTGATGCTTCCCTATATACTGCAGCATTTCAAGCAAGTTAAGAATAGAAACTCTTTCTTAAATTTTATACATTATTTGAAATTTCTGTCCATTGTTGAGTTAAATCATTTGTCTAAACATTATTTTTGTGTCTCATCTTTCTAGGGCATTTAAAAACAATCCAAATTTAGAAGAGATGCCATTTACAGTTGCCACTTTTAGCAAGGAAGAGATCGCCTGTGTTCTAGAAATAGCTGAGGAACTTGGGCTAGTCAGGGATGTTAATCAAAAGGTAGTAACATTCTTCACTTCAGTGAATATTAAAATGTATTTTGGTAACTTTGTTTAGTATAAGTAAAATAATACAATGGTAGTAATATCCTTCAGTGAATATTTAAATGTATTTTGGTAATTTTGTTTAGTATAAGTAAAATAATACAATGGCAGTAACATTCTTTAGTGAATATTAAAATGTAATTTGGTAATTTTGTTTAGTATAAGTAAAATAATACAATACTTTCATTTTTTTGTAATTCTTTGAACAGGTGTGCTTAAACAAAATAATTTGTTTTCTTTTTATAGGGTGGAATCCTGACAGTCAAATTTTTAAAGAAGAAAGGTGCTACTGATGATGTTGTACAGTAAATTTTAACATCAAATTATAAAATGGCAAAATAAAAAAACAGTTTAAGCATATATTGAAGTATGATGATAAACAAAAATAGATCATACCTTTGCTGTATGCTAGTGTTTCATGCATAAAGACCACATGAAAAATAAACTATGATAGATCAGAAGCAAAAATAAAACCAATACTTTGTACCAACTGTTAAATTAATTGCAACCAATATCACTAAAAAAAGAGAACAAAATAGACCTGATACATATGGAATATATTTCAGAATTTAAAGGTCAATAGAGTTAAGCAAAGTTATTTTCCTGTCTCTTATATCAAAATGATTTTGCTTTGAGTAACCTTGTTCATTTCGTACATTCAGAGCCCAGTATCTCGAAACCTTCGCTATGTTGCGCACGTGCGCAAGCGTCTCGATTCCATAACATGCCCATACTTGTCCCATATAGCCTCTATTTGATATAGCGATTCGCAATACGCGATGCTTTCGAGATACGGGGCCCAGGTCTCTTTTGTACCCAAGTTTCATTGTATAAATGTATATATATCTGAAAAAAAAAGAAGAGAATTCAGAATAAAGATAGTTTTGTACATTTATAAAATAAAATAAAATAAAAACAAAAAACATATCAAAAAAAAAAAAAAAAAAGAATTCAGAATAAAGATAGTTTTGTACGTTTATAAAATCGGATGTTTTTTTTTTTTTTTTCCTTTCTGTAAGCTGTAAGAAAATTGGGGAATGTGCAGTGCAGTTTACACAGGTTTTAGTTGATCCCTTTGATTTTGAATTTAATTTATAAGGGATCAGCTTAAATCTATTTTAACCTTGAAAAAAATTTTTTTTTCTTTATGTTAAATGTACATTCTGATTTTTTAAATATTTTATGCGAGGTTGGAATACATCTTTATGCAAAATAATGAACAATAAAAATAACAGTCCAGTGATTCTTTGGAGAAGTATTGTTCTGGACAAAAAAAATATTAAGCATGGCTTTCACTTAGTGGGTCTACACCAGTAGTAAACATCCAAATCCCAAGATCACGTGTGTCATTACGCAGAAATCGAGTTGCCCAGAGAGTGATCCGACATGGTGCTATATTTGGAAGGGGATTCCCCTACATCGTCTCAATGTCGTCAATTTCATCCAATGGGTGCACGCGAATACCGGAAATGTCGCATTCTGAGACTTTGCACTGAATTTTTTTTCGACAGCAGCCATTTTAGTTGCAGATAAATCAAGAAGAAAATGATTGGTTAAAGAGCTCACAAATACCACTGTATCATGAGTAGTTTACTTCCAGAAGTTTCTCACGTCGTTTTGGTGACAACAAGTCGTCGGGTGTCTTTGGACGACTTAATAGTGCACTTTCAACAAGAGAATATCGGCGGTGGCGACGTTGATGAGTCGAAAACGAAAGTACTTGACGAAACCAATTTCTCTCTTTACTTTGAGGATGATGCAGGTATTTATGTTTAGAAACATTTTTTGAATCTTTGTAATTTTCTTTGTGTTCACTTGTCGTTATTTAATATTTTAATCCGGTTTAGTTGAAAACAAGGGCACGTGATGCGTTTATGTTTATGGAAAGGGGGGGGGGGGGGGGGACTGGAAAAATCCAGGAAAGGTGGCTTCGTTTTATGTGTAATGATTACGCTAGTACCATGATCTACTAAATTTGGCAGGATTTAAGTGCTTAACGCATTAGTAGACTTGGAATACCAGCTACAGAAATATATAAAGTTGTAAATGGTCTTGCGCCACTTGCAGTATTGGAACTGTTTCAGAAAAGAGGATCACACTGTGATCTTACTCTTAGAGGAAATGATATTCTTAATATACTTGAGACAAATAGAAAAAATCAATATTATACTTAGGGCCAAAAATATGGAATAATATACCCGAGGAAATTAAACAATGTGTTAGTCTGAATGAAGTGAAAACAAACATGAAAAATGGGAATTAATTAAGGACCCAAGTGCAGGGGTAATCTTTGCAACATGTATGGGTAATGATGAATTTGCACTGAAATACTGATGTCTAAAAGATAACTTATATTACAAGTTGAAATCATGTATAACACTGTGTCAACTGTTATGCCTTTATTTACTGTGGTGATTTCAATCACTGGACAAGAAATAGTAGTAGTGGTAAACATTGTATCATTATCTAATTTATTCAGTGTGAATCACCTAGTGTTTGTACATTCATTTTTTTTAAACGAAATAAACTTTATTGTTTTGTATTGTATTGTTCACCTTGATTTTGTAGCTTTTTTATAATTGCTTTAAGAAATAAACGCCTGCCCCGTTCATAAAATGAATTTGAAATTTATTGGTTAAGTTACTGCGTGTCCTCCTTATTGCCTACTTTTGTTAAGTCTTTTTAATTTGTGTTTTCCTCTTTAAAGAGCTCCGTTCAAGACAAGGAAGACACTTCAGTATGATACACAATTTTCTATAGTAAGAATTTCTACAAGAGAACTGCAAAGGAGATTTTTGGGACCTTGTTTGTTAATATTATAATAAGTATATTTTCAGCCTTTTTCTTTAAAGAAACTAACCTCTAACTTGCCTGTAATAATGAAAACAACTTATTTCATAGTTGCAGCAAAAGTTCTCCAGAATACACACACAATCCATTCAGAAGGATCACCTGTTGAAGTTAATGTGTCCCCCTGTACAGTAGAGATTGCCAAGCAGCACAAGTTGCTTTCAAATGAAACAACTACTGGTAAAGTATCACCAGCCTCATCTAGCAGTGACAGCTTCATCATCCTCGATAAAGAAGGGAATGAGGTCGAAGGAGAGAGTAATGGTCCAAGTTCATTGAAAGCTTATCCAGAGGTATGAAGTATTATATATTGTCCTTTAAACTATAGACTTATCATTTGTTCAGTCTAGTTATAATAAGTGAAGTAATAACTTATGTATACAAAATGCCAGGTCCTTGTTTGAGTAAGAAGTGCCCTTAATTTCAGATTTGATCTCAGTTTTTATTTATGAGAGAAACATTTAATTTATACAGAATCCACAGTCCCAGCTCCTCGCAGAGAGAGGCATTGACAATGACAACCAGGACAGGGTAAAACAAGCAGACGAAAAAACCAAAAATCAATTTGTCTCTGTCGAACATTTGGCAGAAAGTATGTCTGGCCTAAATCTAGTTGGTACTTTAGAACATGAACAGACAAATAAACCAGATGAGAAGCAAGTCGGAATGAAGAAGGTCAAAAATAAAATGGATCAGTTTGAGAGGAAAAAAGGGAATGATGGCACACAAGTGCCTCCTGCAGAAATGTACGTATCTGGTGGTGGTATTGATGCAGAACCCAACATGGAGCAAGAAAGTGGGAAAACATATACCAGTGGTGGGCAAAACAAAGATAAAATACAACAGTCACATCTGTCTCAAGTCTTGCGTCCCCATTCGCTTCATGTAAGAATACCTGAGGGTGGTAGTCATGCAAGTGAACAACAACTCACGCTGAGTTCCATGCCATTTCGGTCACTAACACAGAGTGAAGAGTTCCGCTTAAAACCAGGGCATTCACCATCTCCAGTGAACACTGATCTGCCAGAAGTTCACCAGCTGGGAACTGGTGCCAAATATGCTGCTACAGAGGAAAGAATGGGAAAAAGTTATCTTCCAAATTTGTCATGCAGTTCTGCAGGGCATACTGATGACAAGAAAAGTGCCAGAGGGAACCCAGAGCAGACACAAAGCACAGCTTTTAGGGAATACAGAGAAAACAGTCAAGCCCAGACACAACCTGCCACAACACAAGACATTGAGGAAGAATTTGGAAGAAAAAGATCGACAGGGCATACAAATATTGGTCACCTGCATCCAAACACCAACCTTACTGGTAGCAACTACATTGTGACCAATGAGGATCCTGTCCAGAACTCTGGTCACACACATCACCACGAATACAGTCAGCCACCTCCCATTGCTCGTTCTGAACCCCATATTCAGCAGGATCCTGGTCACTCTGCAGGTGGTCATGCTGCTCAAATTCATCAGTATGGAGGGCCGCAAGAAAAGATGACCATTCCAGGAGATGTACGTGATCCACAATCAGGGCAATCTTCCCCATGGCTTCTTCACTCTCCTCCTAGTGGTGATCAAACCAAGCAGGTGCCCCATACGACACAAAGTATACAAATACCAAAGACAAGAGAGTCAGCAGATAGAGGGAGAGAAAGGGATTTACCCCCACAAGCTGAACAATTGATACCTCAAGATAAATTGATTCAGATGTTATCAAAGACCTTGCCGGCCACGGTACATTCTCAGCTTTGCCTTACAGGAGAACAACTGAGCCACAAAGACTTGGCAGCTATGTTGCTGAGCTTAGCTAATGAAAATGCAATGCTAAAAGCACAGCAGCTACCAGATTGTGATGAAGATACAAAAAAGTCTGTTGCTACAAGTAAGGAAATTAGTTTTATTCATTTATTAATTAATTGTTTGCTGCATTGCCATTTCTGTTACTGTTCTGATTTATTCTAACATTATTATTATAATGAAAAAATTAAAGTGTGAAGTTCCTCAAATTTAACTATTTTTTAAAATAATTTTTAATGCATTTTTAAAAAATGCATGTTACATTAACTAGTGAAATATATTGTAAAGAAGGTAAATCAAGTAAATATAAAGTATTATTTAAAGAATAAAACCTTTCATTTGGTAGATGAAGCCAAGGCAGTAGGAGCACCACAGATGGGTGCTGAAGAGGAAAATCTGCCACACCTCCAGCATGAGAAAGAAGGTTAGCATTGATTCTGCAAAAGAAGGAGATCAGCAACAGATTGGCACTGAAATAGTTTTTATAGCCATGTACATGTTTTAGAACTTGTTTTAAACATGGTGTCAAGCCAAAAATGTAATAATGATGGTACCTTAGTACACCTGCCTTTCCCATTGGCTTAGCAGCCATTTCTCACTAACAAAACTTTGAAAATTTAGTGGTGCAAAATTAACTGACTTTTGGCCTTATTTTGGGGACAGCTGTTCAGCCATCAGATAATTATTCACTTAGAAATATATTAAGGGTTACTTTCTGGAGTCTTGAAAGCTAACTGCAGGTGCGTACGGAAGCCGTCTTCCAGGGTCTTTCGGAGAAGGTCAGAATTTTTAAAGTGTACATTGACCATGTTTTTTTCTGTCAGAAGACAGTTTAAAATGGAGGATGGATCAACAAAAAGAATTTGGAAGACTGTCAGATAAGATTTCTGGATTTGCCCCTGAACTGATTTGAAAGTGTTCATTAGCAGCATGTAAGTGAAGAAGGGTATCTAGGATACAAGCTAGATAGCTTAGCAGCATTTTGTTGTGATATGTCTCATTTATATATTTATAGTCATAAGTAAAATCTCAGAATTAATCAATTCAGATATTTTGAGATTAAGAGACAATTGGCATATTTTCAGTGGTAGAGGAAAGAAGTACAAACGCCGAGTTAACAAATCCTGGCAGAAGTATTTTAGTTGAAGTCACTATGTCTGGACCTGCAGAGCAGTTTGAGGAAGAAGAGCTGAAATTCTTGTTTGAAAATGCCAAATGTACTGGAGGGGGAGACATTGACAAGTTTTATTTTTACCGTGATAAAAAGAAACTTATCATTAGATATGAGAAGAATAAAGGTATGTTTTAGTGAAGTAAAAACTGACAGCACTTATTTACAATGAATGAGAATTGATTGTTAATGCCAAGAATAATGAACTTCAAATTTATGAAAAATCAATGATAATTAAAGTACTTAAAAGACAAGTTATTATATTGAAATTTCTGTATGAACATTAACAGGTTTTTCAGAAACCCTTTGTGGTTTTCATCTAATTTTCACAACTGAAATCTGTCAGCAATCCAATAACCAGTTTAATTAATTTTAACATTTGAGTTAGTGTTTACTTATACTTTTAAGATAAAGCCTTTTCTAATCATATTCAAACTCCATATCATTTATTTATTTTATTTAAGATGATAAGAATGGTAAAATTGTTATCCAATATATAAATTTCAGATGCACAAGGTGTTTTGAAAAATGGATCTTTTGACTATGAAGGGGTAAGATTTACCCCCACATTGTACCAGTCTCCAAAACCAATGCAGCAGCATCAAAAACATGTCCAAGAGCATTCCCACAGTTCAACTGCTGCAGGCTTGGAGCATTTTGGAGCCCCCCCTTCGGAAGCAATAAGCACTCTGAAAGAAGAAGTGTCTCAATCCCAAACACAGATCCAACAAGATCCAGTGGTACATCCTCATCAGCTTTCAGAAGAAGAAGAACAAAAATCAGAAGAACATATTGGTACAATAGAAGTCAGAGGTTTCAAGGAAACTACGACTGATGAGGTTATAAAATATTTCTTCAAGAGCAAGAAGAGATCTGGGGGTGGTAAAATCAAAACTATCGAGATCAAGAGAAAAGAAAATAAAGCCCTCATTACCTTTGAGGAGGCAAAAGGTAACTTTTAGTTGTTTCACAGATTTTCATTTTATGATTTTCATTTTGATAAAATCTGGAGTCACTACAAAGAAAGAGGCATTAAGAGAAATGTGGCACATTTGCATAAATGAATATTTTGGGAATCTTGCCGTGTGATGTTGACCATATTACCTAGTTATTTTTTGCACACTGCACTAGAAAATTTGTAAATGATTGTATGTTGTTCCAGTTGTATCCCGAATAATACAAAGAGGCACCTTGACATTGGAAGACTCACCCCTTCAAATCTGTGAGTTACTTGTCCCCCAAAAGCCTGCCAAAGTGAAGACACCATTGGAACCCAACAAACTACTTTTGAGGGGCCTGTTGCCAACAACCACTTCAGACTGCTTGAGGTTATTTTTAGAGCACATCAGTGAGCAGGACACATTTGATATTGTGTATGGACCACAACCAGGTGTCATACTGGTAACTTTCCAGGAGAAGATAGGCAAGTGATCTAATCCTATTTTTTTTCGTCAAATTTGTATGGGCATTCTGTCATCTTGTGCCTTCATATCGGTATCATCAGCATGAATATTGCAGGGGCAGATGCAGATTTTCCAAAAAAAAAATCTCAATAATGATATTTGTGTGACACATCTTCTTGCTGCATAATTTGTGCATGTGTTTGTAATTTTGAATTACGCACTTCCTTCAATTCCCTCTCCTACTGGAAAAAAATATGTCAAAAACAATGTAATTTGATTAATGTTTAAGCATATCACGCATGATGCTACTGTGGGATTACCTGTCTTATAATTTAACATAGAGCTGTAGAAACTTTTTATTATAAAAAAGTCGAGAGTTAATTTTTTAAGTGATGCAATTTGAATTGCAATTTTAAGTGTTTTAATTTTGGGCATTTCAAGATGTATAATATCTGATTGGGAGACAGTAGTGTTTGAAAATTAATCCCATCTGATAATCTACCATAGAACTTTTTGTATTATACAATTTAAAACGTTTGTTTTCTCTTAGATGTATATATTGAGATTGCTTGTGAGTAATATTATTAAAGTCCGCTATGATAGCAGTTGTTTAAATCTAGACTTTACGTTTGTTTTCAGATTTTGAGGTTGTCCAAAGAAGGATCCAGAAAAAGAAAAGCAAACAAAATTCAGAATTTAGTAATGTCGATGCTGAACAGGTCTACTTTCCAAGTGCTGTACAGGTCCATGACCTACCTCCTAAAACCACAAAAGATGCCCTAGAAATCCACCTGGAAGCTCAATGTGACAGTGATGCCCATGCGAATGTTATTCAGCTAAATGCTGATAAGGGATATGCTGTGGTTGAGTTTTCTGATTACAGAGGTATTCAGATCTTTGATTTTCTTATACACATGGTCATTAACTCTGTTTTTAACTGAATGAATTATTATTAATATATTGTGTTTATATTAATTTAATTTGTGCAACATAGCTTTCACTTGCTTTTTTTACACCTAAGTTATGCGGGGGCAAATGTGTTTTTCAATTTTTTTAAATGTAAAACACCATTTTAAGATAAACTGATAAAAAATAACTAACAAAAAGTATATTCATGCTTGCATGACATTATTTTTGTAAAACTGAACAAAATATTAATATATGCATAATAATTAATGCAAAGCTTCAGTATTTGAATGGTATAATTATTATTATTATTATTATTATTATTCAGATATTGGGCCTTTATTGACAAAGGAGCACAGAGTAAACGGACAAGTGATCACTTTAAGTCTCTATTATCCCTTTTTTGGAGAGACCTCTCCAGCCTGGGACCCCAGCTCCCCTCATCTGCCAACCCCAGGGCCTGTTATAGTGAAAGTCAACCCAGCCTTCCTTAAGTATGTTCACAAACACCCTCAAGTTCATGGGAGGAAGTTTGCAGATGTTCTTGAGAAAGCACATGCCCAAGCCCAGTTCACTGATGATGGAGAACTCCGTCTCTCTTGCACCATCACAGATGGTGCCATGGATGCCTTTGCACTGATCCGAACATGGGAACAAGATGCTGTATTGAAAGTCCAGGATTTTTTTCAGCATTACTCACATGAGGTTTTTCAAATTCAACCAGATGCATGGAATAACGTTGTGGAAAGAATTGCAGAGAAGCACTTAGTGGAATCATGTGATATTATTGTGGATATGGACCCTGACACCATGAAAATTACCCTTACTGGTGAAAATGAAATGGTAATGCTGCTGTCAAATCAAGTGAAAGTCATTCATGATGCAGAAATGAAAGCAATAGAAAGGGAGAGGGAGAAAATAAAAGATGACATTTCTTTGGATGAATACAAGCTGAGACTATTGCTTGCTTTGAACTTTTTGAACAATATGGAGGAGCAGTTTCATGACCTATCCACCAAAATTGATCTTAAAAATGGCATTATATCCTTTGAAGGGGTTCAAGCAGATGTTAGGAATGCTAAGTTGCAAATGTATGAGAGAATTACAACATTAGTTGAAGGCAAGGTTTCTCTGTCTCAGTTGATGATTGACTTCTTGAAATTTCAAGAATGTCAAGATTATCTTGATCAGTGCCTTAAGTCAAGTGAAGTAGTTGCTGTGTGGACCTTTGGCGATAAAGAAATATCACTGTACGCACAGTCAAGAGACCAGTTAGAAACTGCAAATGCTATCATTTTGAGGGAGGTTCAAGAAAAGACCTCTGAGTTAAATGCAGAGTCTCAGTCATTGTTGAAGTCAAAAAAGTGGCAGAAGATGTGTGACAGCCTCAATAAAGACTATCCTGGATTGTTGAAGATTTCTTCAAGTGCAACACATTACACCATTGTGGCCCTGAAAAAAGACATGCAAAACATTCTTGGAAGAATTGACAGGTTTTTGGAAGAAAATACCATATTGACTGTATTTGAGCCAATGGAATATGGAAGAGTAAGCTACATGAAAAACTATATGATTGAAGGGCTGAGCAATATAACTGCGAGCCTAAAACCATCTGTCATTTCAGTTGAAGCAGACGACACCAAATCAAAGCCAGGCATTTTGGTTAAAGGCACAAAAGATGGACTGAAGGAAATTATGCCAACTATCAAGGAGTTATCCAGTTCAGTCCAGAAATGTTCACATCCTGTGGGAAAACCAGGCATGCCAAAGTTCTTTAGTGAAAAGAAAGGGCAGTCTCTGCTTGAGGGTGTCGCCTTGCGTACAAAAACCATCATTGAAGTTAACCAGCCCGAGGAGACAACACCTCGAGTCATTACAGGGAAACGTGAGAACCAGGAGGCAGTGGAAACCAGGGTTGTGAAGAGTCAAGTAGATCATAGCAGCGGAAAGAAATTCTTGGTGTGTAAAGGAGATATGAGCAAATACCCAGTTGATGTTGTGGTCAATGCAGCCAATGACCGTTTGGAGCATACAGGTGGTCTGGCAGGTGCTCTATTAAGAGCAGGTGAGAAGGTTACATTACATTATATATAAATTTTTTGAGATTTGGGTTTTGAAAAGGGCTATTTTTAGATAAACAAAGAAACATTTTTTGACGAAAAGAGATAAACTTGGAGGTTAACTGGTCCACAGATCCATAAAGATTTTGACTCCCCCCTCCCCTTCCCCACTGCCTCATCTCAGTTACTGACAGTAAGTGATATGATTTCGAACAGAATGTTACCAAGGTGATGTTGCTATGCCAACGGACACCTGACTAATTTTGTATCATTTGGTGTCAGTCATGGAAAGAAGGCTGACAGGGGTTAGGATGTCATTCCACACTCTGCAGTAATGACCCAATCAGATTGGACTGATTTTATGCCCTCATTATTAACCTGTTTGATTCATGTTCCAGGAGGCAAAGCAATCCAAGAAGAATCAAAAAAATTCCTTGAGAGACATGGATGGTCAAGGCTCATGGAAGGTCAGATAGCTTGGACTGGTCCAGGGAAACTACCTTGTAAACTCATTATCCATGGAGTTGGACCTATGTGGGAGGGAGACAAAGCAGGAAAAGAGAGACTGCTCAAGGAGGTAGTCTACAAGGCTTTCGAAAAGGCTAACCAAGATGGCTTCAAATCCATTGCCTTTCCAGCCATTAGTTCTGGCATTTTTGGTTATCCTGTGGACAAAAGTACCAGGACTATAGTTGAGGCTGCTGATATGAGTTGTAGTGAAAATCCAAGCTCCAGTCTCAAAGAAATTCACTTTGTTGATACATCTGATTCTACTGTTGATCTATTTAGTAAGGCTGTCCACAGTGTTTTGGGGATCAGTAGTCAGTTTGGGCAGCCCAAGACCAGATACAGTGGATCACCAACATTAAGGGAAGGTAAATAGGTTGAATAGTTTTGGTATATTCTGTATTTAATGATTAGTTTGTTAGTGTAATGCAGGCCCGTAGCCAGCAGTTCCAAAAGGGGGGTTCTTTTTCTGAAAAAGTGGACATTTTACAAAGAAACATTCATGTACCTTGATAAAATTTTACTCAGAGGGGACCTTTTCCTGGCAAAAAGGGGGTTCTCTTGAACACTCCCCCCTCCCCCTGGCTACAGGACTGATTATGTTTATTTCTCCCATGCAATGCAAAAATTGAATTCTCCACTACTTTCCCTATAAATTATATGCTCATTCTGAGAAGTAATAACCAGGTGGATTGCAGTGTAATTTCTCTTTAACAAGCCAAAACTATTCATTAAGTTGTCATGATCATAGCCAATCTTTATGTTACATATTTTTTTAACCATTTATATTGATTTTACAAGTCGATGAATTATTTAGATACCAGAGGGGATGACAATGCTCAGTGGCAAGACCCAGATGATATAGATACAGATGATGAGCTCCAGGCGGCAGTAGCAGGAGCAAGGGGTTCTCGCAGAACAACAAAGAATACAGATTTCCAGCCAGGTCCTTCACCAGACTCTGTGGAGACAGCTGAAGGCATTACTGTGACTCTTGTAAAAGGGCAGCTAGCACAACAGCAGGTACAATTAATTACTATACTGATTTACAGGGAAATAACTTTTTAAAATTTATTAGCACCATATTTTGATACATTGATATTGTATAACAATTAAAACCCACACAAACTGTACTGTTTCTGTGTATTTTATGCCTTTTTCATGACTGAGTTCAAGTATATGCTTTTCAGTTAATACATATTTTCCATTTGATGAACCATCTCTGGAAATTTTATGCAGCTAGTTAGAGACCAGAATTTATGAAAATAAACCTGAGTTTATGTGCTATTACTTTTTGTTAAAACAGCTTAATGGTATTTAGTCAGCATATTTTTAATTCAGTTATTTCACATAATTAGTACCACCAGCGTGTACTCTGGCAGTACTCATGGTTTTAGTCCCGACATGTCTCGTACGGCTCCGCCGGCTCCGTGAGCTCCGCCTGCTCCGTGGGCTCCGTTGCCTCCGCAGGGTGTCATGGGATACAAGTCACCGTTACCGCTTCTCCTCCTAGACCACAAGGAACTGTGTCCCCATCTCTTGGATTTAGGTCACATATAATTTCAACTTGAAGACCCTGGTATTTTTGTCTCAGTCGATGCTTTGGCCTGGGCGTGACGCTAGTTGAAACGCACCCTTGTCAAAATTTTTGAAAATTTAATGCTAAATATCCCCCAAACCGAAGGAATAACAGGAAAAATTACTACAGAAGTCTGACCGAAAGTCATATGTGGAGATTCCAAATATGCCCTAAGATTTGACTTTTGACCTTTATTTCAAGGTCAAACGAGCCAAAATTTCTTAAAATGGGAATTTTCTGCAAAAAAATATTTGTTTGTACCAATTTTTAGAAACTACTCAGACCTAAGCTCTCACATTATGGTGAGGGGTTACAACCAGGGACTCCTTTCATCTTTGAGAGTTTGGGGTCAATCGGTGCATTTTCATGGGATAAGCAGCCATTAGATACCGAAACTGAAAACTCTCTCTAATTCTGGAACCGTAAATGCCACAGACCTTTTGAATTTTGCAACTTGTAGGACTTGTCAAGCGCAATAATGGAGGTGGTGTCCACTTTTTTGTTTTCAATACGCTTAAGGCGCTGCGCTATATAAAACAAGGCAGCAAAGCTGTCAAATGTACAGACAAAAAACAGGAAATAACTATGCATAAAATAGGCTACTGTCAATTCTGATGCAAAAGTACATTATGTTAAACTGCAAATTCAACATCAAATTTTTATTATGCTCAAGCAGCACCCAAAATTGTGTTTTCTTCTATTCTGATGCCATATTACATAATGGTTAACAGCATAATGACCGTCAATTTTTAATATTAAAATATACGTATCATGGATTTTCAGAAAATGTGACTAGCATGGGTCTTCAAGCCCGTGGAACTTCAAAGTTACACCTTGAAAATGCCAATATGTGAAAAATTAAATTTTCACAAAAAAACTGTTTAACTGGCAGTAAGAATTACCAAACAGACTGCATTGCCCACTGAAGCTGTATTTTAGTCCCATGTTTCTTTCCTGTAAGTTTGAGAACAGTAAGTGACATGGTTTTTCTTAAATGGTCATCATGGGAGCAGTGCCCAAAATAGTTTTTTTTTTTTCAAATTTTGATGCAATATTACATAATGTTTAACAGCANATGAAATCTGAAATATGAGAGAGCGTCCTTAATATAGCATACAACGACGACTACTCATAGACTTTGAACAGAACAACAATTTCGGCTCTTCTGAAGAGTAATTTTAGATAAATTTTCTAATTAGTACTTCTAGAACGTGAATTTGTATATACTGTACATAAACAAAAAGAAAACAACGTTGTGCGAAACAAAAATGCATAATGCAATATTTCTCCTTTGTTTACATTTGATAATTCGTAGCGGCAGACATACAACGGTTTTGCATAAAAATGTTAGTTGATGGACAATAATTGAAATCTCGGCAACTGGAACCACGTGTTGAGCTACGATGTGCATTGTCCACATTCTGTGGATGGAACAAACAGTTTTAAACCTCATCACGTATGTAATCATAGCACCGGTGTAACGTGACAGAGAGCCCGCTTCCCATTCATTTGTACAGGCGAGCCTCGCCCTAGATTCTGACCCATTATACTTAAACGAAGGGCGGACTCTGTTACACGGACCCTCAGTTTCGTCACACCGGCATGTTCCTGAGATGTGTGCCAGTTAAGCAGAAGAAAGCAACAACGATCTTTAGCTGATATCAAAATAATATTTTAATCTTTATTTTGCTTTTCACGTTACATGTTATCACTGTAATAAAACTACATTTATCACCAATGTGAAAAAAAACTACAAATACATCAAGTTGTTTTGCATGCACAGTTCGATACTTAGATGCGCATTTCCACTTTTATAACGTACGAAAAGGTTATTCTGTCTGCTTGTTCACTATTATAATGCATTATCATTAGCATATGGATGAAAGGGGGAGTTTTGAAAGCCTCCTACCTCGCCGCCATAACAGTCGGGAGGTTCTGAAGACAACTTAATAGAGGGATTAAATACGTTCCTCATTATCCGCATTATTGTACCATAAATCGCAGAAAGGAGTCCGGTTAAGGTGTAGAAATTGTCAGTGTAAAATAAAATCCAAATATCAGTTTAAAGTGGGCAATGCGTAGTTGCCAGAGAAACAAGGCAGCAAAGCTGTCAAATGTACAGACAAAAAACAGGAAATAACTATGCACAAAATAGGCTACTGTCAATTCTGATGCAAAAGTACATTATGTTAAACTGCAAATTCAACATCAAATTTTAATGATTGAATCTGACAAACTGCAATGATATGAGTTTATTTCCATTTTTGAAACTTTATTACACAATACACGATAACAAGTTTACCATAATTTTTACATAATGAACTAATAATGTTGTAAAGATGCAGGAAATTCCAAACAAACACTTTTACGTATCTTATTAATTAAATAATGAAACTGTTAACATGCCTAAGAAATGAATCTGAGGAAATGTGAAAAAACGGCATTTCTTTAAAATAATGGCCCGATTAAGCTGATTTTTGAACTCAACCTGCGTTTTAGCAGGAATGACCACTCCTGTGAGTTTCATGACAATTGGCGTATCTGTATTTCTTATATTATACTTACTGTGTTGCATATATGCTGAAAAGTGAAGAAAAAAGCATAACTACTAAAACAGTGGCCCGATCATGCCGATTTTCGAACCTGACCTGCGTTATAATAAGATCGATTACTCCTGTGAGTTTCATGACAACAGACCTATCAGTTTTCCTTGAAATGTGTTTTCAGTGTTGCATATATGCTGAAAAGTTAAAAAAACAGCATAACTTCCCTTAAAATGGCCCGATCATGCTGATTTTCGAACTTGACCTGCGTTTTATGACTATTCATCAGCTCTGTAAATATACAGCCAAAAAGTAAAACTGCCTTCCACTTATAATGTTTACAATGAAAGTGCACGACGCCAGCGGTGGCGACAGTGACAGCGACGACGGCAGATACAGGTGATGGCAATATGTACAGACACATCTGTACATATTTACTGTACTGTTTGAGAACAGTAAGTGACATTGTTTTTCTTAAATGGTCATCATGGGAGCAGTGCCCGAAATAGGTTTTTTTTCAAATTTTGATGCAATATTACATATTACATGTTTAACAGCATAATGACCATCAATTTTAATAATAAAATATTAGTATCATGGATATTCAGAAAATGTGACTAGCAAAGGTCTTCAGGCCCATGGAACTTCAAAGTCACAACTTGAAAATGCCAAAATGTAAACAAGACAGCACTGTTCTGAAATGTTTTTTTTCCATTTTTAACAATTTTTATGTACAGACACAGATGTGTCTGTACATATTGCCATCACCTGCGTCTGTCGTCGCCGTCGTCGCTGTCGCCGTCGTCGCCGTGCACTTTCCTTGTAAACACGATAAGTGGAATACAGTTTTACTTTTTGGCTTTATAGTTATAGAGCTGATGAATATTCATAAAATGCAGGTCAAGTTCGAAAATCAGCATGATTGGGCCATTATTGTAGAAGTTATGCTGTTTTTTCACTNATCAATACAACATGCAGTGTTAAATGTCCAATTTCCTCCATTCTGAGATTCTAAACATAGTGAATGATTGCATCTGACTGCATCTGTGTCTGTACATAAAAAGTACTATGCAATATTCAGTGGTGAAAATAAAATGTGAATAACTCCAAAATTAGCAGAGATACGCCCATAGTTGCAATAGAACTTGAATAGGAAGTCATATACTGGCAATCTAACTGTGACCTTGAAATTGACCTTTGACCTACTTTTCATTATGAACTGCACTTTGCAAGTTTTCTGATCTTTATATTTCCAAAACTGGCAAAGATACAACCATAGTTACTATTGAACTTGAATAGGAAGTCATATACTGGCAATCTAACTGTGACCTTGAAATTGACCTTTGACCTACTTTTTCACCAAGAACTGAACTTTGCATATTTACTTGTTCCTCATATCATCAAAACTAGCAGAGATATGCCCAGTGTTGCCCCTGGGTTTTCTCTTTTGTCAGTATACTATGGATGCAACAATGATAACACATTTCAAGGAAAACCAATAGGTCTATTGTCTAGAAAATCACAGGAGTGATCAATGTTAGGAAAATACAGGTCAATTCGAAAATCTGCATGATTGGACCATATTTTCGCATTTTTTTTTTTTTTTTTTTTTTTTTTTTTATTTTTGAGAACTCTTTTTTTTTTTGTTTTTTAT